TGGCGACTTGTGGATTGGGCTCAATTGAAGGGATTGGACATGGAGTGACAAACTAAGTAGGAGAGGGTGCACAAACCTCGATTGCGCCCCATCTTGCTTGATTGCTGCCCCTACCCAGGCTTGCTGCAATCACCAGACGGGAGAGAAAGGAAGATATCCTGGAGGTGGACCGGTCAACTCGGTCAAGTTGCGCGCTTGTGAATGCGCCGGACCCTTCGGGCAGTGCAGTGCAGCGCAGTGCAGAGCAGAGCAAATTGTTTGCCGGTAGGTCAAAGGACAGCCGTCCAGATAATGAAACGAAATCGCCGCAATGGGTTCCAAGCCGGTGGGAATTGCTCTTTGAAAAGGCTCCGTCTCGTTGCTGCGTCGTCGTCAGTGGCTGCGCCGCCAAGTCGGAGCTGTTATTTGTGGTCTAGGCCAGGCCGGGTCTTCGCGCAGTCTTGGTCTCAGGTCCGTCCAAGTCGGGACTATTACTTTGGAAACAAGGCTCGGCAGCGTTCCAAGACAAGGAAAACAAAACAAGAAGGAAAAAAAAATGAAAGCCAGCCCAACCAGGGCGGTGGGCGATTCTTGGAGGTAGTGGCAGTCGTGATAGTCGTCCTCTGAAGCGAGATGGCGACGCGGTCGAAAATCAAGGCCTAGAGGAGAGCAAGGAAACCGGCTCGCTTTCCGTAGGTCGAGTCAAGTCGTCCTTCACAACGGCACGCTGTGTCAACTTAATAAGTATTAAGTAGCTAAAGGTCGGTAGGGTGGTGTGCGCGGAACAGTCGGAGGCCACTTGAGTAGCTTGCATGCATGATAGGCCCGAGGTGACGAAGCCAAGACTTTTTTTTCCTCTGGTTGTTTTTGCGTCGATGTCGTCGTCTGGTGCTCGATGTAAGTATTGGTGCCACGAGGCGGTTGCGAAATACCCAAGGGGGAAATAGGGAGAGAAAAAGACGTGGGAAAGGAAAGGGCAGGAGAATAAAAAGACATGAATGGAATAATAAATCCAGATGTCCTAGCACTTACCAAAGGAGAAGCTAAAGAACGTACTTAGATGCTGGGCTGTAGCTTCGCTTTTAAAAAGGTTCCTTTTGTTTAGCTTTCCTTTCCAGCCTGCATCCAAGGCGGTTCAAGGCAACGCGGTCAAGCCAAAGGGCTCGTATAGCAAGATAAAAAGGCAATGTCCAAAATTAGCCTGCACATAGACGAAAGACTCGAATTTCGCTTTGTTGAAGCCCTTGCGCTTTGCGCGACAGAGAATGCGACGGGCTTGCACGCTATAATGCGGCCTATTTGGCTCGGGGCCGCGGGCGCCAAATGCGGTTGCTATGAGATGACTTGGGCTTTTGGTCTCAAAGAAAGAGGTCAAAGGCCCGAGTGAAGAGCCTGGTAACAGTGAATCGTCAAGGTCAAAGTCGTCCACGTCAAGTACACGCTGCTGCCGCCACACAAAAGGATGGCAAGCCAACGACGTAATGGGAGGCCCGCCAAACAGGCTTTTTTGTTGTGCAATATTCCACGCGGTTCAATGGTCGATCATCGGAGTTCGATCTGGCGGGCGGGCGGCACAACCTGTCGACCTTAGATTCGCAGATGCCTCGACTCCAAGGAAATCGTTGAGGCTGCGGCCGAGCTTATTGGTTTGAACCTTGTTGAAGCGTCACAGCCACCGTCACCCAGAACGGCTGAGAGGAGAGAAATTAGGCGTGAAACTTTAACACGGGAGGCTGTAGGTGTATATAATGGTTCTCTTTTTTTTTTCCGATGGCGCCAAACGAGACGAGCTCTATGCGGGAATGGCTAGCCTCGATCGGCAAAATACTCTGGCCTGTTGCGTAATTGTACCAGACTCTACACCCGGGCGACGGCCCTTGGGGAACAAAATGCACGTAAACGGCGGCAGTGAGCCATCTCGAAACGAAAAATTCAAACAGCCCGAGATGCCGTGCCATGGGGAAGGGGGCAGGCGCTTCTAAATAAAAGCGCACGTCTATCCCCCATCTTCATCCCCATCCCGTCCCATCCCATCCTGCGCGTTGTCGCCCAGCGATGCCAGTTGAGCGTCTCGTGTCTGAGGCGTCTCATGATCCCCCTTCCATCCCGACGAGGCCGAGTCACGGCGCTCCAGACTCGGTAGGGCCCATCCTAGACCCTGCCGTGCGCCTTGTCTCCTCGCAGACTCGTCGCCAATCCAGAGCATCATCAGCCCGGCTATCCAGACTGGATGCGGTCGGCGGCTGGGCTTCGACTAAGCCACCGCCCATCTGCTGGGTCCGCGTGCCCATCATCAGATGCACCTCGGCGGTTTTCCTGCTCGCACTCGTTGAGAGCGTGAGAGGGTACGAACCACCAAGCCCTCGGCGCCAATGGTGCATGATACACAGGCTGGGCCAAGAAAGACATGGGGCCTTGTTGGTGACGGTGGGTTTAATAATAGCCTGCCGCTTCAAATGTTCGCAGATGGTGCGAATCCCAAGTTCCACCAGCGGTTGTTTCCAACATGTACATATCTGAACCGTTTCATCAGTCAATCAAGGTGTGTGTGCTGCAGCAATAATACGTAAAACATGTTCCTGTCCACTTGCTGCCAGGTACTCCGGACGTCTTGTTGCATTAGGTATATCCGGCGTCTCCGTTGGTTTTCATCTCTTCGAGTGCTCCGTACTACATGTTGTGTACGGAGTACTGTACGCAGACCATGAGACCATGAGACGACGCCGGCTTGTCGGGTGTTCTGTGGCCATTTTGACCAGTCAGTAGCACCACGGAGTAGCCGCCAACTTGTCCATGATTAGAGAGAGCGTTGCTATAGATGGAGTAATACATGATGATTTCCCCCGTGTTACGACGAGGCCAACGGCATGCAATGGGTTGGCTCGGGCAGGGGTGAGGACAACTCGGCCACCAGATCTCTGGTCAATATTCGCTCTGTGTTCCGGAACCCCAATCCGCTTGGCATGCCTTGAATTGTTTGCGCAATTGACCTGCAGATGCTAGCACTGCCAAGTCCAGAGCTGTGACATTGCGTGGACAAATCGCCAAACCAGCCCCCCCTTCGAACATGCTCACCTCCCGGCGTAGCTCGGAAACAAACACAGTGTCCAGATGTGCGTGTTTCGACGACGTCGCTTGGCCGGAATTGTCTGGATATTGCAACTTCCAGACACTGCCGTGAGCCGGCCAAGCCAAGACTGGGGCCAAGAGCCAAGCGCCAAGCGCACCATTATGCCCCTGCTGGGCGATACGCCGGCGGTCTGGTTCAGCTTAGCAGCGGTGCTGTGCTCAGAGGCGTGACTCCAGTCAAATTGCGGATACGAGCCAGGCACTTTCTGGAGAGGCCAGACAGAAGCAGGGGGCTGGGCACCTGGGGGCTGAAAGGCTGACTGCCCAGGCGGTCAAGTCAACCAACTGACTTTGTTGCAGAGCTTGCGCGGCACTCCAGATGTTGGTCCCATTCTTCCAAATCGACGGCAGCTGCAGGCGGGGGAAGAGACTATGCGCTTGGCCTTTGGAATCTCGGCGGCTGGCCAAGGCCGCCCGTTGCTGGGACTGATGACGATGAGTTCTTGTCATGCTCGATGCAATCAATAGTCTGGTGCTGGTTATTGGTTCTGGTGCTGGTGCTGGGCAATACCAAACATTCTGCACTGTGTTGGCTCCATGCCCAGGAACAGGTAATTTCTCGAATGTAAGACGTCTAGTGCTTCCAAGCCGGCTCGTTGTGCATGTGGAGGCAATCCAGGGCTACGGAGTACTCTCTGGCGCGTCCTCTGACACCAGCCTGTCGCAGAACCAGCCATGTATGGCGAAATGCTCACAGACCGTCATCACTTGATTTGCTGTCAGCACCACCGAGTACGGAGTACGGGGTAGTCTCAGTCAACTTGGAAAGGAAGGGGCGGGCGGTTGGTGCCGGTGATTGACCAACTACCTATCTAGGTACTCATTTGACGTCATCGCCACATGCGCCGGGCTGCAGGGCAGTGTCGGCGCCAATGCCAAGTTTGGTGAATTGTTTGTCATCGTCACCATACGCTCAATACGCCATGGGCTGCATCATGTCGCCTTCGACCCTTATGCTAGTTGCCAGTCTGAGATGGCCGCTGCCCTTGCCTGCACAATCAGACTGTATAGGATGATGGCTTGCATTGGACCATGCCGGGTATGGGTTCCGCGTCACCTATTAACTACCTAGGTAGTATTGCGAACCGATATTCAACATCTCGGTGTGTCGGCTTCAAACGTGCGCCAGTGGGCTGCTGTGTGCTTCTCGGGACTTCGACACACGAACATTGCGTATTGTAAATACCGCCACACGTCAGAGCGATACCTGCTATGTTGAATGAAAACATAACGATACCCTTCGCGAAAAAGCTGGCTTTTCTCCATGGCTCTTGAAACATAGGTTCATCGTGGGATAGGGTAGTCTGTTTTTTTTTCCCTTGGAAAATAATACACTAGGTAGGTAACTATAGTGGAAAACTTCTTTTTTCTTTTTCTTTTTTTCCTTTTTGGGTGTCCGTCTTACGCCAATCCCATATGTAGGCGTGTTATAGTCGGGAGTCGGGAACATCATGTCGTCAAGTCGATGCATCGAAGCTGCACATTTCGGAGTTGCATCTGACAATCGTGCCACTCGGAAGACTCCGCTGGTAATGCGGACACGGGTTAATCTTAACAGAACAATTCGTCAGACAAGCCCAGTTGGTAACTTCCCCTCAACAAACCTCGCGCGGAACGTGCTGTACATGTATTCTATTCGACACTGAAAGCACCTTTCCAGGGCTGTTCCAAGGACAACTTCAAACGTGGTTGCCGGGCTGACTGACGGAAGGTCTGACTCGACCAATCGCGTCGTCACGTGCGGACATTCTACAACCTCCAACACGACGACGAACCACCAGACGAATACTAATTCTTGGATGTGTCAACACATCGACATCGACCGACAGAGATTGCCGCAGAGGCCGCGGTGAGCGACCCAACCGGGTCAACGCTGGAGTTCCATAGTTGGAATGCGCACGTCACACTTTCCAACGCCCGTGGTCATTTCGAGATCTTTATCGCGACCGCGACAGCGCCAGCTTCAAGACCCGCTATGGCGGGGCCGTTATGAAAGACGATACTCGGCAGATTCACCCCCAGGGACGTCTGATCGACAAAAGAAGCTGTCGAAATTGCCTTTTCGATTCGAAACGGGCATTGGGTTATTCGCTAAGCGGCAACCGAGACCCTTCCCCCCGCCCTTCACGTCGCCTCCGTCGGCATCCTTCTCCGATCCTCTAAGCACCCATCATCGAAGTCGCGATCGAAGGGGGGCATTTGTGAATGGAGAACTCATAAAGGGCCTAACGAATGGAGATGATGCCGTCTATGCGAGCGATTTCTTTATCTGCGCGAACGATGGAGTCGGGGCCTGGGCGATGCGACCACGCGGCCATGCTGGGTAAGATCCTTGCCCCGCCCTCTCACAGTGTTCATGAAAACTAATACATTGCTGCAGTCTGTGGTCGCGATTAATCCTACATTTTTGGGTGGCTGCTGTCGAAGAAGATGTCCTTCGATCCCTGTCCGCCGGTACACCACATACACCCGATCCCAAGTCTATGCTCCAGTATGCGTATGAGCGGACACTTGATGCCACCGTCTCTCTCGATTGGCAAGGAACAACCACTGCATGCGGCGCCCAATTGCACTATAGAGCCTCGAGCGACAACTTGTCAGTAAATCCATTGCCACTGCTGCTCGTTACAAACCTCGGAGACTGCCAAGTGATGGTCCTTCGCCCGCGGAACAAGGAGGTTGTTTTCAAGACTAAGGAACAGTGGCATTGGTTCGACTGTCCCAGGCAGCTTGGCACCAATAGCCCCGATACACCCAAGGACAATGCTGTCGTGGATACTATAGATTTGGAAGTTGGAGATGTGGTACTAGCGATGAGCGACGGCGTCATTGATAATTTATGGGAGCATGAAATCGTCGAGTCGGTTGTAAAGAGCATCAGAAGCTGGGAGTCGGAAAAAGGAGGAGGGTTGAAAGAAGACAGAATAGGTGGCCGCAATGGCGGGATGAAGGTGGCAGCGGAAGAGCTCGTCGCTGCAGCCAGAGTGATTGCGATGGATCCGTTTGCAGAGAGTCCATTTATGGAACAGGCTATTGAAGAAGGTTTGGCCAGTGAAGGAGGTATGTTTCTTTGTTTTACCCTTTATTCCGATACCTCTAACAATACATGTACTTACGATACGTTACCTACAGGAAAGCTGGATGATATTAGTGTGGTTGCTGCCTTGTGCGTTGAGAACAAGTGATGACGGAGCTATCTGCATTGGATTTTGTCTGGTTAATGCACGCAATGAATTATTGAGTCATTGTGATCAACTCTGGCGACTATCCATCTAGTCGGCGAAAGCTCTTCTCTAAGTTAAGGACTTGAACTTGAGCGATATTAGTACTGCTACTCCTCGAATTATTGAAAGCTTCTGGCTTGGACTACAAATTTTTATTGTTTAATACCCCGTGCCTTGTTAGCAAGCAATAATGGGTGCACCACCGACTCTGGAGTCCATTAGTGTGGGGCTGTCAATGATCTCGGCCGGCTTTTGCGCTTGGCCAGGATTGGGGTTGGCGGCTCCTGCCTTATCGCACGTGCAGACCCTTGGGTCCGCCGCCGATAAGAAATTTATTCTGGAGAGCTCACGAAGAGTCTCTGGAGCAGAGTTCAGATACGCTTTGTGATTTCATCGCACTAGCCCATATCGCCATTTCCAATTGTGTGTCTTGTATCCATCAAACATGAGGGGAAAACGATCCAAACAGTATCGCAAGCTCATGGAGCGATACTGTATGACCTTTGGTTTTCGGGAGCCGTACCAAGTTCTAGGTAGGTCTCCGTGGTTCAGCTTCTTGTCTCGACCACTTGCTAACATTGTGCCCAGTGGACGCCGAAATGGTCCAAGATTCCTGCCGGTTCAAAATGGAATTGGAACTCGCATTACAAAGAACAGCCCATGGAAAAGTCAAGCCAAGTATGCGCCCTCTTTTCGTTCATCCTTAGGCCACTCGTTTCAGCTCCCTGACCAAATCTCAGTGATTACACAATGCGAAATTAGGAAGCTCTATGCGCGGAAGAATGAACCTGGTATCAGCGAGGCTATCGAGGTAGCCAAGACTTGCGAGAGACGACGTTGCGGCCATCACCCCGATGAGTACCCCGAGCCGTTGAGTACGCTGGAGTGCCTTCAGTCTGTCATAGATCCCAAGGATACGGGCGAGAATAAGCACCGATATGTCGTGGCAAGCCAGAACTTGGATTTACGGCGCATGCTACGCGGAGTCCGAGGAGTACCTTTAATATACATCAAGAGAAGCGTCATGATTATGGAGCCAATGTCCGATGAAAGCGCTCAACTTCGAGCCCGAGAAGAGCGTAGCAAGTTTAGGGCGGGACTGAAGCCAACAGTCGGCAAGAGAAAGAGAGAAGAAAGGGACAATGGCGACGAACAAGATGACGACGGTAAAACTGATGGCGACCATGGAAGTATGATGGCAACTGGCGCCGAGCCGAAACCGCCGACGAAGAAGTCAAAGCGCCCTGGTCCGAAGGGGCCCAATCCCTTGTCGGTGAAGAAGAAAGCTAAAAAGCAGCCGGATGGGACGAGAAAACCAAAGACGACGGCTGAGACGGAGGAAGAATTGGGCGATGCGCCGGCCAAGCGGAAGCGAAAGAGAAAATCCGAGTCAACGAATGCTACCTCGGCAGGCGAAGGGGGCTCGGGCTCGGGCAATGTACCCCAGACCGTCTCAAATACCGATGAAGGCTGAAATCATGGAAGACACTGAAAGGGGGAATTATATTGTGTAGCTATGGTTTACGGTGTTGATAGGGGCTGGTGTTGGAAGACGGTTTCGTGCATTTGGTATCGGACATGCCAACATAAAAGTGAGCATTTTGCAGGCGTGGCCAGTCAAAATAAAAGAAGATGGTTTCTTAATCTCCATGGGATCTGATGACTTTAATTGAATATTCTCCCCCGGAAAAGGAAGTCCAGTACACATATATACAGCTGCGGTTATGAAAGGTGGGTGTAGAATGAATACAACCGCATTGTTGAGACTTTACAGCATGTGCTTCGACTTCGACGGTGGGGAATTTCAGTATTTTCTTTCTTTCTTTTCTTTTTCTTTTTGGCAAAATGGCGATTGGTTATTGAACAAAGGAGGCAATTATATCCGGTTTGTAGTACGGAGTAAAGCGCGCAGTCCCTAGTTCGGCTGGGCCTGTAGGCTGTGGCGATGATGAGCGGCGATCAAGTGTTGGTGGAAAAAGGGGGCAGTGCGTTGACACCACTAGAGCGGTTGACAGGCGGCAGGATACCCTGGTTAGTCGCAGTTGGGGAAGTGGAGGTGTGGTCGGAGTTGCTGCGAACTAGTACCTCTGTTAACTTATTAAAGGCGACTGGTTATCGCACTCGCACTCTGAAGCTGGTGTAGAGGAGATACTCTTTGGGTCTTCTGTCAGTCTCGTCTGTCCATGTCAGTCAGGGCGGTTGGCGATGTGGTGTCACAGTGGTTGAATGCGGCCCCAATTTCCGGCACCCACATCAAATTTGGTTCTCAAGGGTCAACTGGTGCCGTCACCCTGCAGCAGTTAGCGCATTCTTGACAGCATCCAGGTCCTTTGACGGCCACATGCAGTTGACACCAACAGTCCAGGACTAGGGGCAGTGCGTCCCTGGCCCCGCCTATTGCACCAGCTTGACCGCACAGTCATTTGACGCGGCCCGCAGTGAGCAGCCGATGGCCAGTGGCTCCCCAGTTGCCCTGGCCCTGCGAGCTTCAGCCGGATGTCTGGTGGAATGGAAAGGGAACCGACATGGGCCTCTGGACTTTTTCTTTTCTTTTCTCTTCTTTTCCTTCCCTTTATTTGGCAATAATTGATAGGTACGGAGTATTACTGTACGGAGCACATACCGAATCTGTCCCTTATTTTTGGCCCTGCCAGTGAGTGCGTGGAGGGAGCTCCATGTCCAGTGCAGTGTTCCGTTTTCCTCGCTGCCAACTTTAGAACCCACCTTTCAAATTTATATGCCGCCAAACGTCTGATTTCAGCCAACTCCGCCACCGCCTTCTTCCAAAACGGGGCTCCTACAAAAGACGTCACACCTTATCTTTATCACGTCCCATCCGTCCCCTACGGAACCTTCGAGTCTTGGATGTGGACGTGGTACGGAGTAGAAAGACAAACGAGGTTCGGTCTCTTTGTTCTGTTTCTGTTTGTCGGACATCGCAACAATGGTCAGCAACAAGGACGTTGAGCCTGACGACGCTACCAACCCAAAGGCGTCACAAGCTCCTGTTCCTACGCCGGCCCAACATGAAACCGACGATTTTGGCCTGCCGATTCGACGCTATATAGCCCCGGCTAACGACGCGACACTGCCGAAGGCTGACGTGGGGGTCGACAATGTGATGACGACCTCGGAAACAGCAGACGAAGTGAATAATCAGACAAAGGATGCAGACTCGTCCACTCCTGCGCCGGAACTGAAGGACCAAAAGTCATCAACCTCATCTGCAGGCTCCAAGGATAGTAACCGGGCAGCGGAGAGTGGTAGTGAGAGCGACGATGCTCCCTTCGAGGACGCTCGGAGTGCGATGCCTGCAACTTCATCTGTTGCGTCTGCTCGCGAGCCTGCAGTTTTGACGTCGGGAGCACAAACCCAAACTGCGGAACCAGAAAAAGAAGTCAAAGAGAAGGATCATGCTTCGATATCCACCCCTACTGTGAGCCCAGACGAAACCGCTTCACGCGGTGCGCAAACCCCAAAACCAGAATCCGAAAAGGCCGACCCCGTTGCCAATGGCACAAAGCCTCCCGTACCAGATGAGAAACAGGCCGAAGGAACTGCTTCTAGCTCGGAGCAAACTAATGAGAATCCCAAGATTTCGCATACCCGAGATGTCAGCGCTGTTAGCATTGGTAGCGGCCCTCAACCAGTCCTCTCAGAGTTCTCACATCAGCAACTTTCCACGCAGCATCAAGGTGAAAAGGAAGACGACGATGGTGGTTGGCAAACTATGCCAGCGTTCGCTCCGTACGACATTTATGACGACGACAATCGTTTGATTGCGCGAGAACACAATGAGGAGGAGGACGAGAAATATGGCTATAGTGGCCTTGGAGGCGCTGGAAAGGGATACACTCGTGTTATAATGGATGAGGATGCCGAGTCTGCTACTAGCTTGGACGACAATACGCAATATCTGTTCCAGGAATCAAAGAAAGGCACGGGTCTTGCGGATGACGAGGGCCGTGATGCTGTCGCTCAAATGCAAGCTACGAAAGACCTGTTGACCGAGGGCCAGAGAATAGCTTACGTTGGGGTGGTGCGCTTGGAGATTGCCAAGATGGTTAAGGAGGCGGAAGATTTGGAGGTCACCAAGAAAATAAAAAAGTTGGTCAATATGAGTGCCGAATCCGAAAAGATGTGGGGTCAGAAGATGATGATTCGCCTCTACTCTCACATGGATATCAGCGAAGCAGAACAGGTCATGATTGAGCAACTTGCCGAGCATGGTGTCATACCCAAGGACTTGACGCCAGCACTGCATGCCAACTCCAGAGTCCACAACCCCATGGCCGAAGACCGGACATCAGTCGACAAGAGCACCGGGTCAACTTCCGTGTCCCCTGGGCCCTCGACTCCCGACGATGAGAAGCCAGCTGAGATGCCACCGCCATACGAAAGCATCGACCATAGCGAAGTCCCGGACGCGCAGACACCCTCTCAACTTCCCACAACCGAAAAAATCGATATTGACCTACGTTGGACCGTTCTCTGCGATTTGTTTCTCATCTTGATTGCTGATTCAATATACGACGCCCGCTCTCGGGTGCTTCTGGAGCGTGTAGCTGACAGTCTGGAAATTTCCTGGATCGATATATGCAAATTTGAGAAGCGTGTCACCGATGCCTTGGAAATGCAACAAGCGGCTGAAAAAGAGAACTGGAACGAAGAGGAACACATGGAATCTCGAAGGAAACAAGCACAAAAGAGAAGATACATGATGATGGGCCTCGCAACCGTTGGAGGTGGGTTGGTCATTGGATTGTCAGCCGGGTTGCTTGCACCTGTCATTGGAGCTGGCCTTGCTGCTGGTTTCACTACCATTGGCGTCACCGGCACGAGTAGTTTTCTGGCCGGAGCAGGTGGAGCAGCCATTATTACTTCATCCGCTGCTGCTTCAGGTAGTGTAATTGGCGGTCGAGCTGCCAATAGACGAACAGGTGCGGTAAAGACGTTCGAGTACCGACCCCTGCACAACAACAAGCGAGTCAATCTCATTGTGACGGTATCAGGTTGGCTGACAGGAAAAGTGGACGACGTTCGCTTGCCCTTCAGTACTGTGGATTCTGTCATGGGAGACATCTATTCTGTGCTGTGGGAACCGGAAATGCTGCGAAGCATGGGTGACACGATTAATATTTTAGCTACAGAGGTATGCATTCAAATTGCTCATACTTGTCCATGGACGGGACAAACGTGCTAATTAATACTCCGCAGGCCCTCACCCAAGGTTTGCAGCAGATTCTGGGTAGCACCATTCTTATGAGTTTGATGGCCGCCTTGCAGCTCCCTATTGTTTTGACAAAGTTGTCATATCTAATCGACAACCCGTGGGCTGTCTCTCTTGATAGAGCCACGGCCGCGGGCTTGATTCTGGCTGACTCACTCATGGACCGCAGTTTGGGGACGCGGCCAATTACCCTTGTTGGATATTCTCTAGGCGCTAGAGTCATCTTCTCCTGCCTGCAGGAGCTCGCCAAGCGCGGCGCGTACGGGCTGATACAAAACATCTACCTCTTTGGCTCACCCATCGTTGTTAAGAAAGAAGAATTTGTCCGCGCAAGGACTGTTGTATCAGGACGTTTTGTAAACGGCTATAATCGTAACGACTGGATTCTTGGATACCTTTTCCGACTAACCAACGGCGGGATTCGTAGAATTGCCGGACTGGCTCCCGTTGAGGCGCCTTGGGTGGAGAACATAGATGTTACAGAAGAGGTGCCGGGCCATATGCAATATCGAACAGCGATGCCTACCCTCTTGATAAAATGTGGTTGGGTAGTAGAGAGCGAAGAGTTTACTGAAATAGAGGACCCTGATCCTGAGAATCATGAGGAGCGACAACGAGAACTTATCAACGAAATCGAAGAAGCTCGGAAGGAGCTAGAAAGGGAAGGGAAGGCCAAGAAGAGTGGCCGATTTAGTCTCTTTGGACGACGCAAGAAGGCCGATCGCCAGGAGTGGGAAGTGTATGAAGAGTCAGCTGCCAAGGGGGGCAAGGAAGACGGTAATGGCGGGAAAGTAGAAGACAAGATTGGCAACAATCACGGTGTTCTCTTTGATGTTGATGCTATTCGCGCTGAGCTGGCAAAGGAATCCTATGGTGACGCCGACGTGGAGACGGCTCTTCAAGTCAAGGAGATTAAGTCGACTCTGCCGCCTATGAAACTTGACATTTGTCCTACTACACCGTCGCTTTCGTCCCCAATAGCAGATGGTCGAAGCTCCCTGCGGGAGACAAGGAGCGCTGACGTTCTCACTGTTGGGAGGATGGGCTTTGGAAGCCCTAATGGATCGCGGGACCTATCCCCATATCACACGAATATGCACGAGGAAGAAGTCCAAATGACGTTTGATACGTCATTTGACGACTCGGCACACACACATACGCAGGCTGCTCCATCAACCAACGGCGAGAGCAGCCTCACGCGTCCGGAAATGAAGAGTTCACAAACATTGCCGAATATGACGATTTCAGATCCATGGGCAGATCCAGAGGATGAAGACTTTGGCAAAGAAAAGGAGATTTCAATGACTTTTGCATAATACAAGGACAACGGCCAGAGAAGGGACCCAAAACCTTGCGAGGAGTTTTCTTTTTCGTGTTTCCGGCGATCTATTGGCCCAGCGACAACTGATTGCTTGATCGCCCTGGCGTTGGCATGGATAGATGTAACCGTCCACAGTCGGTTCGCGTTTATATTCGAATTATTTGCTTCTTTCATTGTGAGCCTTCTTGTTACGGGTCTCGGGCCGCATGGATGAAACGGCATTTGCACACGGCGAGGTTACTTAATTACTCTGTTGGCGGACACACTGATTGGATGGGAGGAATAGGTAGGAGAAGGAGTAGGACGCCGTTTTAATCCCTTGGAAGCATGAGTCGGATGAGACGAGAATGGGATGAAGGAGTTGATGATTGAAGAAGGCGTAGTTTCTAACATCTTTTCTTCTTTCACTGTATTATTTGAAGAGACGAATATATAAAGGCAGGCAACGTAATGTTTGAATCTCAAGACTTTTACCGATATGACGCGGACATAGTCTGTACATGTGCTTGGACATTATCGCAATACATATGTGCTATGTAGGTACTTCGGTATGTAAGTGAGATTTTGGTGGCTCGAGATTATTCTTGAAGGAACAAGGTCAGCTGACAGGCGCAAGGGGATGGATGGTTCTCGTTGCCATGTGCTCTGCATCACCAATTGGTTGACCACGTGATTACGGGATAGGATTGAACGGCGGGTTGGGGACGCAAAGGCCATGATTGTTTGAATGAATCAACAGTCTGCATTTGCATCCAGAGTCCAGGGTGGAGTACGGAGTAAGGGGGGATGAAGGAGCGATCCGATGGACGAGCAAGAGCCCCAGTCTCCAGAGTCCAGACCACTTCAAGCTTTCCCAAGCAGTGCCGGTGCGTTTTTCTACTCTACACGTCGCCTTTGGTTAATTTGCTTCCGCAGAAGACTGGCCGTCTCTGTTGTTTTGTTGTTGTCCCCTCCGTGTTTTGAACCAGCCTCACGCAAAAGGCAAAGGCCACCGGCTGGACACAAACGCCGTCTTGTGCTTTCCTGGGGTGGGTGGCTGGACAGTGGACTCATCCCTGTCAGCGGCAGTGGAGACATGCTGCATGTAGTGTGTGGAGGTGATGGCGGGAGGCCATCACCAGTCTCACCTCTTTAGATGCGGAATGACTCGTGGAGACTCGCTTACCTAAGAAAATTGTATGGCAGAGGAGTCTCCACGAGCCAGTCCGCATCTAAAGAGGTGGGAAAGGCGAAGCACAGCCTGGCCATGCCATCCAATTCCAGCTGTCAATCTTTTTTTAGAGCACCGAAAGTGGATGGATGGAGACAAATGTTGGCCGGTGGATTACACGAGTACGGAGTACTACGCAGAGTCGCCGGGTGGTTGATGTTGTGCTCAGAAGGTGAGGAGCATCTCCTTTTCGCATTGACGGTTCTTGAGAATCCAACCACTGATTTTGAGACACAAAGACCCTAGATTTGCGAATGTTGGCTGCACGTACGGAGTAGTACTGTCACGGAGAACCATCGTGACTGGAATACTTGCATTCGCCTGCTGAGGCACTAGTTCCTTCAGCTCGACGGGATTTCTACCCTGGCGCCTGGTTGGCGTTGGCCAGAACTGGAATTGTGCATCAATACTCCGTACATCTGAGTCGTTTCTCGGTCTGGCCAACCAACTAGCCTCCTCACTCGGACCCCAGGGAGGCATGCTCTCTGATCTGAATTTGGTAACCCTCTTTGTGGACGGACGCAAGCCTCTCTTGCCGAGTACTCACAACACAGCACAGCATGTGGCCCATCATGCCTTTCTACTCGGTGGAAGGGTTCCTGTTTGTCTCTCAGAAACCAGCCCAATGGAACGCCCAGTGAACCAGGGTGTCGATTGTCCCGTCTGGTCTTACGCCTTTACAAGCCGCCCACCTCTTGGGCCGCGTGCTTTTCAGTCTGTTCTTTCTTTTCCTTCAATTCCTGCACTTCACAAGGTGCAGGGTGCGCTTCCTCAACCGAGCATTGCTGTGGATTTTGGTTCTTCTTGGTACTTTGCTCTGTTGTGGCGAACATCATTTGGACAAGTGTTGCTCAAGGAAAAAAGACGACGAGACATTTTATACATACATATATATGTATGTATGTACGATTAGCCCTCCAACATCAACCTTCACCACTGGCCACATAAGCGCCGAACCTGTCTGAACCTTGGGACTGGCCTGTAACGCACGGAGGGCAAATCAAAAGTTTTGAGTTCAGTGACGAAAGCGACTTTCATCGGCTGGGTTCGAAGAGTCGGGAACATGGACATTCTTGCACACAGTGGAGGATCTCAAGACGGAGGCAGCAAAGAAAGTGACCCCAGCAAGGATGCGGAGGCTCCCTTCAACACTGCTACGCCTGTCACAACCCAAACATCCGCAAGTCAAAGCCCGTCAACGAGTTTGGAGGCTGGAGGAGCCCGCGGCACCGACCCGGAGATTTTGTTCACAGGCTTCCTCTTGCAGCGGCCTGTCTCGTTGCGCACTTTGACCTCTCTTGATGGCAATACCGAGAACTTCTCCTTCTCATGGACCATGAACAACAACAGCGGCAATAATGTCGACATCAACTGGATCGCATGGGTTGCTAGACCTACCATGATCTCAAGCGAAGCTGACCAAGTTATCGTCGATAACATTATAATCAACCCCAACATGTCTGCAGTGAACCGCGAACGCAATTTCTTATCCGACGACTGTAAGTTTTGCACCTCTGCCAAGCCAAAATTCAACCGATTTGTCTGTTGTTACATCTACATTATCTCTCTGCGCGTCTCATGACCATGAGCCATATTTGTTCAGCGCTTCTCCCCCTCCCCCTTCCCTTGCCAACACGAAGAATGGGCAACTTAAAACAAGCGCTGACAGGACACATACAGCTAATGGCCAGAAGGGAGTCACCATTAATTATAGGCGTTGGTTAGATTCATTACAAAATGGCAAAGACACAGACCAAAGACCGGAAGGCGCCGCATTGCCAGCGGGCAAACGCCTAGCTTCTGACACCGATTTCATGAGGCTCCAGATATCGTGGACTAAACGCAGCACCCGGGAGAGCAAGATATCAAACACTGGCGTTTTCTTTATTAAAAACCCAGCTGGGCTCGAATCGGAGCCTATTCGGCATGATAATGTGACCGGGTATGAGGAGACGGCGGGAACAAACGGAGGCGTGGCTACGAGCATGACGCACATCAGTAGCTTACCCACTTCCACCGACGCTCCAGACAAAAACGGCGGAGCAAAACCTACCGAGGATACAAATAGCAGGGGGCTATCGACCGGAGCTATTGCGGGCACAGTCATCGGTAGTGCCATAGCCGTGGTTCTTGTTGCCGGCCTCACATGGTTCTTCCTGCGCCGGCGCCGTAACCGTAACGGGCCTTCATTCGATCCCCAGTACAAGACAGCTCCATTCATGGAGAACAAGGTTCTATCTGCAACACAAGTTGTGGACTCTCATCGGTCTGGGCTTTCCGAAGATAGCGGACCTCAGGATTATACCACACACAACACCAACACCAGCCCGGTGGGCATTGCGTATGGTGGGCAAGACCAGCCATCGCATGACTACACCGGCAGTTTCACCAACCTGCACGATACAGGTATATCCAACGGCCCTTTAAACTATCCAGGCCACAATCCTGACCCTACCGCAATCGCTGCCACCCGCGGCGTGCGGGAACACCAACACGGCGCGGATACAGACTCGGGCAGAGAGGACTCGACATATCCTCACATCACGCTACCCATACCCTCCCGAATTCGTCACCTCGTGGAATCACATCACACAGACAACGATGTCCGCCGCCTCCTTGCCGAAGAAGATCATCTTGATGAAGAGATTGCCCGTGGGTCCTAGAACTACCTTCGGCGGTATCTATAAAATGCTTGAGTTCGACTTGATTCGGTACTGTTTTGTTTCTTTGCAAATTACAATGAAAGCCATACATAGCGGAGAAATACCACTTTCCACTACATGGAAATCACGGGATGAGATTTATGGTTGCCTTCAATAGGCACCTTTTCATTTTGTAAGCCATGCAAGGTGGATTCGTCGGGAGTTGAGGCTGGGTGTGCGATATGAATTAAAACGAAACGAAACGAAATGCTTTTGAGGAAATTTTCGGCCTGAGCGTAGTCATTGCAAATGATACCACTCGTTAGGGATATATATGTAGTGCAACTTACCGGGGGTTTTGCCTTTTATAAGTGCTGTCTGGGGAAGTGATGCGTTGGATTGAAAGGCAAATGCATGCGGAAGTGGTGTTTTGAGCCTTTTGCCATGCTACTTAGGTAGGATGCGCTCCAGAAGAATCGAGGGGGAATACTCGGGTTTGACAGAGACTTTGGCCTTGCAATGTGAACGGATCCAAGGAACCCACGATGCTGTGTATCGTGGCAGTGGGTGCGGTGGCATTGGAAGAGATGTGAACGATCCATGATGGGGATTCCACCCTTCTGATCCGATTCCTTCTCGGGCCTTTCTTAAACGTTATATTGAGATTACCGGATAACCATAATACGTAGCATGAACAAGTCCTGTATTCCAGCCACTACAAAGAACACCACGCACCAAGAAGCGGCGCTGCAATTTCATCCATTCCTATAATACACCTTATCCAGCCAGTTGGACACGCCGGCTCCCAAACTAGTCACATCTAGGCAATGCAACAAGCCGCCCCCTTCTTCCCTCTAAGTCCGCCTCACATCGAATTTACCACGCACACTCTGTACTCGCCTCTTCCTACGCACCTCAGTTACGCGAAAACCACCGTCCGGCCAGATTTGTCGCAATGCTGCCGGCCAAATTCGTGGTGCCCAACGCGCTGCCGGCCAAATTAGAAGCCTGGCTGAACTTGTCGCATCTCGAAAAGGCAAGAGTGTTCATAATTGTCAAAACAAGGGCGATGACTATAATTATGTGTCAGCCATGATACTATTCTCCCTCGTCTCCCTCCATGTGTCGACCAAAGAGGTGAAAATAAAAAAAAAATAAAAAATAAAACTAGAAAAGAAAGCAGCGGGCGAAGAATAACGGGACAGCACTTACTAACAAGGGGCAGCCACAAAAACTGCAACCTCACAATGGCCAAGACGGCCAGCAGAATCCACAGCAGGGGCTGCACGTACAGAGACAGCCAGAAGAACCTGCTGTCCGTGGCGTTGACAACCTTTGTGCCGGGCTCGCTCGACTCAAAGACCCATTTGGACTCGCCGGTCTGGGGGTCGACTTCGTTCCACCACCGGAGGCCGACGAGGCGCCGGCCGGCGATGTTCTTGAGGTAGTAGAAGTCTGCGGCGAGGAGGAGGATGGTGATGATGAAGATCATGATCCTGACGAGTTTGCAGTGTCAGCCTGTCCATGTCCCTGTCGCAGACAAGAAGCTGCGAGCGGGGGGAGGGGTTGATTTTAGGACGTACATGCTGGCCGTGACCCAGAGACCAAAGAAGTACACCAGCACGCTCGCTGCAATTCGTTAGCCTGCATGATAATCTGTCATCATGGAGCGAACCGAGGACCCGACGTACATATTCGAAAGGTTAGGAAGGTTAGCAGTGTTATGGGGTGCGAACTCAACCGCCAGCTGAGTGTTCCTGGTAACGGCTGCTGCTGCTGCTGCTGCCGCTCCACATCCATGATGCCGGTATTACAATCGATAGCGGACGATGGTAGGTGTAGAGTGTAGAGGGGGAGAGGTTGCGCTTGGGATGCGCAAGAGATGTTGGCTGCTCACGGGAGCGTACGATGCGAGCCGATGGCTTCGGTGGAGGTGGCGATGTGGCGATGAGAGAGGAGGCCTTGTATACGGCGTGTGCGGCTTGATGGTGGTGAGCAGTCGTGTTGGTTACGACCGCATGCCTGGAGCTTGCGTACGAGGTCGTGGTGTTGACAGGCGACATGTGGCATTTGCCTTGTGAGCCAGCCAGGCACACGTTAGACGTCCCAATCTTACAGGCTGGACCCACGCCAGCTTTGGACGACTGGTGCCAGGGGCTCTGGGCTGTCCACCCCAGGAGATGAGTTGATCCGGCCCGCAGACCCAAAAAGGTACAAGCTTCATGTACCGAGTACCCCGTACCTTCTTCAATTGATCGGCAAGCAAAACATCTTGATGATCTGGGTTCTGGATGACGGCAACAACACCGTCTTCTCACATACACTTCCGACTATGCTGGCTACCCCCGCGAAATGTGAAACCGGGCCCTAGAGATAATTTACGCCATACTGAAATGCAAGATTGAGCTTTAGTTCCCATGCTGTCTACTGTTGCATCAACGCCTGCTCACTTACATCAAGTAACCGCCGGCTATTAAGACTCAACCGTCTCATCATCATGGCCGCCGCGGCAGCGAGGTCCACGGCCATCCTCCGCCGGTCTCTTCTTTACGGTCAGCCCGCCTACCATCTACCAGACTCGTCGTCGTCGTCGCGTGAAACTAAATTCTCGTAGTCCCCGCGTCATCGCAAAAGATGCTCACCAAGTCCCTGGGCCTCATCTCGGACAACGTAACCTACGACCTAGAGGACTCGGTCACACCGTCTCTCAAACCACAGGCCCGCCAACAGCTCAAGGCGCACATTTCATCACTGAAATCCCGCCCTCGGTCCATTTCCGAGCTCGCAGTCCGCGTCAACGCCGTCTCCACCGCCTTCGCCCTCGACGACCTGACGGCCCTCTCTGCCGCGCCGCTCGTCGATGCCATTGTCGTGCCCAAAGTTGAGTCGGCCGCCGACCTGACGTTTGTCTCCGACGTCCTGCGCCATGTCGCCCCGGAGAGGCACGCCGTCGACTCGAGCAATCCCATCAAGATCATCGCCCTGATCGAGTCGGCCCGCGCCGTCATGGACCTCGCCAGCATCTGCCGCGCCTCCCCCTATCTGAGCGGCCTGATATTCGCGGCCGAGGATTTCGCCCTCGACTTGTCCATTACGAGGACGCCGTCTCTGACGGAGTTTCTGTATGCGCGTTCCGCAATCGTCACTGCCGCCAGGGCCGCTGCCTTGCCCAGCGCCATCGACCTGGTGTGTACGTCGTACCGCGGCGAGGAGGGCATCGGGAGACTTGCGGAGGAATGCGCGGGCGGCAAGTCGATGGGGTTCAACGGCAAGCAGTGCATACACCCCGACCAGTTGGAAACTGTGCAGAGGCTGTTTGCCCCGAGCCCGGATGAGGTAAACTGGGCGATGCGGGTGGTCATCGCGGACGAGAAGGCCGCAGCGCAGGGGAGAGGAGCCTGGACGTTGGATGGCAAGATGATTGATGCTCCGGTCGTTGGAAAGGCTCGAGCCGTCGTTGCCAAAGCCAAGCAGTGCGGATTCGACGTTGCTGGTCTGAGGAGCAAGTGGAATAGCCAGGAACCCGAATGAATAAAACCAACGCACTCAAGTACAGTGGACGAAATCCAACACCACGGAGTTTTCGTATTTTTTTTTCTCTCAACGGCACGTCGGAGCGCAGAGGAAGCGTAACGTGGCCGTGGCCAGTGAATCGTCTTAATCGAGGGGTAGCCAGAACAGCAAAATCCTGCAACCGCATCTCATGATGCCATTACATTGCGATATGTAGAAGCCCAGCGCCATGTCGACAGCGTAGCTTCCCTTCCAGACAGAAGGTAAAAATTGTACAAATGGGTATCGATCGGCAGCTAACTTGGTGGTTTGCATTGTTGATTCGACCGTAGCTCTGGGACCATTGGCACGCATTAAGTTGCTTGGACATAATAAATCTACATTGTACCTCATCGTTGTTCAACTACCGTACTACGAGTGGCAAGACTACTTAATTCAATACAAAATAGACGCTCGAGATAGAATCTTGTTGAAGAAAACCGTTTTTTTATTTCATTTGCTATCCGCTAAAGGTACCTTACTGGGAGGTCTGACGAGAGTTGATATGTGGAAACCAGAACAGTCATGTGTCCGCCTATTGAAACAGATAAAGCCCTCCAAGTGAAGACTATTATAGTCCGGCATCGTGACTATACTTTGTATCATGGCCCTCTGATGGTCTCAGCACTCTGGAAAGGCTGTGGCCTGGTCACTTATTCAAAAATAGATTCAACTTCGGAGACAGAGTGAGAATGCCGCTATTGGAGTCACCCAGCAGCAAGGCTGTGCATTATCGTATTTGTGTTACATTAAACCACCAAATGGACCCATTCAGTGGCTGAGCTGATGGTTTCACGTCCTGCCGTGAATTAGGCGGCGCCTGTCAAGCTGCCTGCGGTTCGATACATGTAGAAAAGAGTTATGGACACCAGAGCCATCTGGCAATTTTCAGGAGCGCAGCGCGAGAACTGAAATTGTCTGAAGATGCCACCTGCCAGGTCGAGTCATTTTTGCAACGGAACATCGAAATAATATTCTCCAGGATGTTATACTCGCAGGAGAAAGCGTTTCAGAATATGAGAATGTGGAGTAATCTGCGCAACATGTGCATTAGAACAGCTTAAATGTTGAGCCATACAGTGACTCATGTATTGTAACAAGCCCCGGGGCGTCGATGGTCTGCCTTGACGGACCAAATTTGGCTTGTTGCAGAATGTCAAAGTCCCTTCCGCTCTCAACGTCTGGGTGTTTGTTCAATTTTCTATCTTGTATACCGTCCAGGAGGCGTAAATCTTCGGTACTTCGAACAGTATGCGAATCCTGGTCAAAATATCGGGCTCGCTTATCATGAATATCATTGTTGGAGTTCCACGAGCAGGCTGATTCATCATTTTGCAAAAGCCCCATTTCGTTCGGCACGCGCCGTCGTTTTAGACCGAACGTATCAAAGGTTCTATCTCGGGAACATTCGCCATCAGACTCATGAGGTAACATTCCCCAGTCTAGTACAGTCTCAGAGCTCCCAAATCCATGAAACCCAGGCGTTTGACCCATTAGGAACTGCGTCTTTGTTCTGGAGTCAGGGTTACAACATGTCTGCCCGCGTGTTGGCCCAATGCTTGGGAAAACACTCTCCGCCCAGCTCATTGGGCTGACTGGGATTGTCCGAAATAGCGGTGCAAAGTCGTCTCCGCCGCCCCATTGGCTGTCCTGGTATGCAAGGTGTCGCGAAGACCGCGGATCTAGGTCGACACTGCCTCGGGTTACTGGAGGCTGGTATAGTATTGGGGACCGTACTCCTGAATTTTGATGTACCGTAACGTCACTGGTTGAATCCGGTGGTGGGCGTTGGAATCGACAGGTGACTGGTTCATCCGCCATGAAGCCGTTGCAAGGAGACATTCCATGCTTATATTGTGCGGTATCGTCCTTGTAAGGCTGGCGAAGAGTATGGCGGCCAACTTCCGAAGTGTGCCATTGCGGGATATATGCATCGTCGAAAATACTAGGCCGCAGTATCCCGTGATTATCCTGGTCTGCGACATTTTGCAGAGAGACCTGTCGCAACTCAAGTTGTTCTGGTGCATTCACTGATGGTGAGTGATAGAACTTGTGTTGCCGATCATTGGTGGCTCGTACAATTGGCCTAGGCTGATTCTTCTGCCACACGAAATCGTCTGAATCTTGAGTGATTTGATTGTCTAACGTTAGAGGCACTGTTCCGATCAAGCTTGTTGTAGATTCCATATGAACCTCCTTTTTTCCGTTGGGAATTTCACCTATTTTAGACATCCCAGGGAACTGCTCTGGTGCACTAGGGAAGTCTTTGGGATTCACTTTAGAGCAATCATCAGCACTTTGCTGATTCGCTCTCTCCATCGGTGATAATGCATCCGATTCCGGGAGTATATTAGATCTTCTACTAGTGCTATCAATATCTGCGGCGCTAAATATACTCAATTTGGTCTTTGAGAGACTCAAGTCAAAATTGTGAAATGCGAGGTCTGCCACTAGAAGAAATCAAAATAAGTCGGCTTTATGTTCCTGAAAAAAAAAAAAAAAAACCTTAACCAGGGACTTGGACATACAAGTAGTGTTATTCAAAGGTCTCTCCTCAGACAGTAAGCCTTCTGCAACATGAGGTCTCATCTATCTACGGTTAGAAGCTAACGCAGGATTCTCTGAAGCCAACTTACGGTCACATTCTCTCTCTTTATCACATCAGATGTGAAGTTCGTCATTATTTCCTTTCCAGAACGTAGTCTGCGTTTCCGACACATTCTGTGATTATCTTGGGGACGGGCTGGCCTATCTGTACCATTTTGGTCCTCTATCATCGGGTGCTTTGTGTCGTATCTGTCTTCTCGAGTCTTGCGGCGTGGTTGACGATGAAACTTTTGACACAAATGATGGTTCTTGGGTCTGGGGGGAGGACTGAAGCAATGCCTCGAGCTCTCGGATCTAAAGCTTCCCCCTGTCCGTAAAAACTCATGTTCTGGCCCCCCAAGCATATGTCTATTAACTGCATCCGTGTTGACCTGTAGGGAAGGGCTGACGGGTATAAACAGTCCCGAGCTGCACACTGGTGTATGGGTCTTTTGCCAAGTCTTGTCAGGTTCATCAGCGGATTGGAGATAGGAAGTTTGTCGTGACCTAGATATTTCCCTTGATGTGCCTGCGGGATCATCCTTCTGAGGGCTATTGCTTGAACATTTCGATCGAACACTTTCCAACCATGTCTCCACAAGGGTAGGTCTCGGGCTCGAAAATCGGACTCCTTCTTGACTGTTGGGAGGATAGGAATCGTTGTTGTCATTTGGAGCCTTGCCATCAACACGATCTGTTGAATCTAGGTAAAGGTGATTCGACATGCTGGATTCCGATCCGTCAACTCGTTTGCAGTGGCCATGGACTAGCAACTCGAACCTTACCTACGCATCGGCAGAGGGAGTGGGAGGGGGGAAGAAGGACATTGCCCAAGGTTTCTGCATTTTTAGCAGTGAGTTGCAGCTTGTCTTTGATATTCCGGATGCTGAGGCAACTGCCGACTTGAGGAAGGGGGAAAAGGTGCTACCAGTTGACGGTTGGGCAGACTTTTGTGCTTGCTTACAATTCCTATCAGTAGGTGTCGCCTTCTTTCCCTACCTACTCCAATACATGTTCCTCAAGCTTCCGACAACAGAGGGAAGGAACGAACAGACGAGCAGGCATGTCCAATTCAACAAATCTCCGTCAGCTCTCTCAGAAGTGAATACCTGCGAGCATTCAAAAAGCAGCCCCGATGTGATGGCCACCATCCACAAGCTCAGGGGAGGCCTATTGATGTCGCTGCGATACCCAATATGCCAGCTCACTGCCGCCTTAGACAAAGCATGCCAAAACGCGGCCATTGGGCGAGCTTGTGTACGGATTTGCCGCTACAAGACGGCAGCATAATTTTGTCGCGTTTTCTACCTTGGACATGATCGTATAGCCAAGACACTCCATCCCCGGATTTGCTTCATGATCCCTGGACGTGTATTGCACGTTTTTGCACAGCGACACAGAACGGCATGACGCTGTTGACGGCGTCGGAGCATGGCGTCGGAGCACGGCGTCAGGGACCTGGAGTCAAAACGTCAAAAGTTATGCTCGCTTGGAACAAACCTGATTTGTCTCGAGTTTGGCCAAGACACTCGCTCCATGTACATACTCCATGTACTCGGTAGGGCAGCATCCCAGACCACACTAATGCAAATCAAAGTCCCACAACCCGGTATTACTGGTAGACTGATGGTGTAACACAAGAGCTCAGACCCTTGCTTTTTGTTGCTGGACCAGGCCGCCTCAGGCTGTTGTAGCAGAGTATTTTTGGAATACCGTCGATTAGATCGCGCATGAGACGCTGAGCACATGACCAACCATAGATTGATGATACCTACAGTCGCACCTCCATGCACGGAGTGATGTGTTTTGACACCATGCTCCAAAATAAGGGTGGGAGAGTGGTGGATTGCTCAGAATCTCCTTTGTTTCTCCCTTTGGATCGCTTTTCTATCTAGGTAATTCGGCCGACAGGGACAATCAATGCCCATGGCCCCCCCGTGGGCTATCGAGCTGGTATGCGGAGCGGTCTGGAGTAACGTAAGTAAACGAGTAAACGAGCCATGACGACGTGACTCGCGAGACTCCTCAACTCCGCCATAGCTTGCGCTGAATTACCGCACTGCCGCACTGTTTATGAGGAGTCTTCTCGTGTATGCGTCGTCTGGGATAAACCCTTATTATATGTATGCACACACATATGTACAATGCCAATAAATCAGGCCAGGCCAGGCCAGGCCACGGGGTACTCCGTAGGTGGGCCCGTGAAGGTGGGCTTTCTGCCTCGGGGACATGAATAAAGTTAATTAATCAGACAGTAGTAGGTCAACTGGTCTGCCGCCGTCCCAAGGCCTGATGTGCTCAAGGAAATACTACCGAGTGAAGTCCACCGCGACAAGACCGCTCAGGAAGCGCGAGACGCGCATTCCACGTGTGACCAGGTACTTTTCTCCCCCTGACTTCGGTGAGATTCGGGCGTCTCCTCGGCTAGTCAATTGAGCTTTATGGAGGTGGCTTGCTCCATGTGGGAATTGACACGCGTCGACGGTGGGATGCTGCAGGGTACTCACTGCTCAGATGCATCCCCTTCCCTTGCATTTGGTGCCTCAGCAGGCACAGGAAAACTACCGAGTATGATGGCGAGTATGTAGTCTGGCCCAGCCTTCCATATCTTGGTTCCTCCGGGGTTTAGGGCGAAGGATTATTCTACTCTCATCCATTGACAAATCCACAACCATGTGCCCTTGTGCAAGAGTCACGGTGGCGATTCCTAAAAGTGACATCAAATGCCAGGAAGCTCAAACATGCCAGCCATACTGGTGGTCTCTCCAGATGTTGGTCGGCAATGGGCACTCATTCCAGCACTCTATATTTGTCCAAAGGATGTGTGTGGACTGACTCCTGCCTGTACAAGAGTATCACCAACCCTGGCCGGCCAGAACGGGCCCTGGTGTGTTGATTCTGGTTGGTTGCTGATGGCATTATTCAACCTGGCGAAGCACCTATTATTGCTTGCCCTGACCCGAGCAGGGAGCCTCCTCCACTTGTTTAGAGTCAGTTGCTGCGACCACGTTAACGTGTCAAAATTTCATTCTAGTTGTTCTCGCTGTTTGCTTACTGTATATAGAAGCATCCATCTCTTCTGAGAAACAATATTAGTTGTTCGCGTAATTCCGTTCAGCCTTTGGTCTTGTCCCCAAACGAAGTCTATACTGGCCGACACTGATTTTGTCTTTAACTGGTTGGCTTTGATTGCCCTCGCCTTGTCATATGAATGCCAGCCGTTGATTAGACAAGTCATCCCATCCCACCTTGCTGCCGCTGTTTCACGAACAGGCCAAGCCGCACCATTCCGCCGCCACCCACGTGTGTGTGTGCTCAACTTGAAGAGCCCAAACTTGAGAGCTTGAGTCGCCTTGGACCCCGCGTTGGCCCCAACCTTGCTCCCCAACGGTACAAGTCAAGTCAGCAACGCGTAAAGTACACCACTGTAGTAGTAAGTTCCCAGTCGACAACAGAGCGTGTCGAGCCGGCGCATTGCTCCACTGCTAGCAAGTCCAACCTTAGGCCACTGCCTAGAGGTTTCAGCATCCATAATCTGCCATGGAAAGCAACCAGTTGTCTTCTTCTAGAAAGGCCGGCGGAAGTTGACGTTGCAAAAAAGGCTCGTTTCTCAACTCGCCCCGTTGTGGGAACTTCCATCCAGTCAAAAACCCTTGAGGCTGGCCTTAGCGCAATAGATTGTCCCGCTTCATTCGGCGGCGATCCCCAAGACTGGTGAGATCAGCAGAACCCAGCATCAAACTCTCTGAACACATTGTCCTTTGCTCTGCAAGTCATCGCAATCCGGCATTGTGCTGTACTGTCTGGTGCACTAAAGAAGTGGACCTTCACCAACTGCGCCCTGGAGAATAGACTCCATGTCCCAGGAGCGAAGCAAGATTGAACGGCGCTTGGCTTGGCTTTCTTGTTGTACACAGATCGGCCAGGCAACTTCGCTGCCACATCCATAAACTCATCTTCCATTCGAAGTCTACCCCATTTCGCCCTCAAGCTCGAGGTACACTGAGGTAGGTTCAAACTGCCCTGTTACTCCCCGCGACACCTAGCGCAGTATTTCGGATGCTAGACCCTGTCCACGCCATGGCAAACGCCTCCTATTAGCCATGGCAGCTGGCAGGCGGGGGAGGCAGCCAACTTGGTTCATAGCTCAGGCGCTGGTACGGAGCACATTGTGTGAATGTGGTCTGTAGGGGTCCATATCTCCGACTAGTAGTTGTCGCATGTTCTTCCATCTTGCAAACGAGCGGACAACGCACCTTACCCAGAGAAAACACGTACCCTTCCTCCCCTACCTTTGGCTTCGCATCGCCCCCAAGCCTCTTCCAATATCAATCCCTACATCTGCGGCTGTGCGTTTTGCGTCTCTTCTGGATCAGTCATACCACCGCCATTCGCAATCTCTGATCCCATCGTCTGACTTTGTCACATAGGACTGAGACGAGAAATAAGCAGCAACATACTAGCCATGTCGAAGCTCTTCATAGGGTGAGCACTGATCACTCATCACAATTCCCCTCTCCGTCATGAACCGTCCCCACAGCGCCGTGTCGCTGGCGCAAGCAGCCACGAACTGACAATGTAAAAAGCGGCCTAGCATGGCATACTGAAGAGGCCACTCTTCGTCAGAAGTTCGAAGAGTTTGGCGCTGTTGAAGAAGCGGTATGTTTGGTTAATTTCCTTTGTTGTGTTTCAGACTCTTTGACACGTGTGTATGTGAATCGTTGTCGCTGTTCCCGCCGCTCAACAACATCCCCTTTCATTCAAAGTGCGTGAATATGACCTTCTAATATGGAGTTTGCTCTGCGCGAAGGTGGTGGTCAAGGATCGAGATACTGGTCGCAGCCGCGGCTTTGGCTTTGTGCGCTACACCCAAGAGAATGATGCCCAGAACGCTATAGCTGCAATGAACAACGTCGAGTACGAGCCCCTTTCGCTTCTTTGTTATCACGGACCGAGTGCTTGATTGGTCGCGTGGATTGGGCTTGATTCTAATATTGCTTTAGATTTGACGGTCGAACGATTCGTGTGGACAAAGCATCCGACAATAGCCCTCGCGGAGGGTATGGAGGTGGTCGAGGAGGAGGTTCGGGATTTGGAGGACGGGGAGGTTATGCAGCGCCAATGCCTTATGGTCTTCCGCAGCAGTCCCCTGGTTATCCAGTCGTCGCTCCTCAGATGTACGCGCCAGTAGCATATGGCCGACCTTACCCTCAACACCCGGGATATGGCATGCCTCCCCAGGGTAAGTCGACCCAATCTTCCGACCAGATTATTCATGCTCCTGCGGCGAATACGCTGACGATGAGTGCAGGATACGGCGTTCCGCAATATGGATATGCAGACCTTTCTCAGCAGCAACAGGCTCCCATGCCTCAACACCAGCCTCCTCCTCAACCACCCCCTCAAGGTGGAAGAGGATACTAATGTTGGTGTCTGGACAAAGCGCGTATGATCCCATGTTGCTGGCATAAGAGTTCGCCTAGGAAGGGCTAAATAGTGTTTCGTACCTTCGACTTTCTCTCAACATGCGATCTTCACGAGGAGTTTTGGGTGTGGTGTAACGGCAAGGGTAAAGGACGAGGGCTTGGAGAAACCCGGCAAACCCCCCCTCAAATGTCCCGATATCTGGACTGGCCGGCCATCCAGACATTATTTTGGTTAGCTTTCTGTACATTGGCGCCAGCTCGATTAGAGCTGCACGTTCACTTCGTTACCGTTTATGCATCTCTTCGTCTTATTTGCGTAGGGACAGTGTCCCTCTCCTGCTTATACTTTGAGCATCCGAAGGAGGTTGAATATGTGCACTGAGAAAGAAACGACGGCACTGCGATAATGGTCTATAACTACCTGCCAAATGCGACATAAACAGAAGTGACGGCCAACAAATTCGATAGCGACGATGATAAACAAACGATGCTGAGGTACAGGTTGCATTTATTGGGCTGAGGGGAAGGAAGAACATTTGAGCGGGAAGGGCTAGTCTTCAGTACCTGGTCGAAGAAATTGAAAGGCTAGGGTTAAAAGAGGTGTTCCTCGCTCCGTGGGTTGTTTGTAAAATCATGCCATGTCTAAATGTATGCGTCTATCCCAAGTCAGCAGGCCCCTCGTACCCTTATTGCCGAGAGAGAAGAAAAAAAGGTCCTGAGGTAAGTTCCGATTCGTTCGGGTCTATGATGAAGTCCCATTGACCGAGTGCTCGAGTGCTCGAACGCGTTGTGCCAAGTCGCTGACATGATAATCTCCGCTATCCGGGGACAATTCATTGAGGGCAGTGTCGAGTCCGTAAAGGTAGTCTCTGTTCAGACCGCTTGGTCCTTTGCTGTTGAGAATATGCTGTGCCAGCTTCTGGGGATCTTGGGGGCCGACAAATTGCTCATTATCGGGAGTGCCAATGTACACCAGAGTCTCCATGGGCGTGGACCCGTCGGCGGGATAAAAAGGTGTATAGTGGATGGAGTAGCCGTTGATCTCTCTAATATCCAGATATTCCTTGACTTCAGACACCTTTTCCGGCACGATGCGATATGCGACGCCCCAGACTTTTTCTGGCGCAGAATCATGGTGGTCCGTCAACTTCTCCCAGTAGGAGCGCTCGATTAGAGTGACAACTCGACCGGGTGCCTCTGGCGTACCACGGTGGTCCTCGCTAAGAACAAGCCAAAAGGTTAAAATCAAACAGTCGTCGCCATGATGTAGGACAAGGCAAAGTGTGAAACCAACCTTGCCTGGTGGAGGAGGATATATGTATATGTAAGCAGAGACTCAAAGGCGGGGGTGACTTGGATAACGAGAGTGTGTGTTTCTTCGAACATACCTGCCAGAATCTCCTGACATAGCCATTGACCCAGCCCGGAACCTTTCTATCTAATGTCACACAAAGAAGATACGGTTAGTCGACATTGGTGCAGATGCACGGGGTTGTTATGGGAGGGGCACGGCATGTACATACCAAAATGTGGCGGTGGTTTCCATATGAGACTCCTGCAATCAATTGATAGCCGGCGCAATTAGCTGCAGGGAACAGACGAAGCAGATAGGACAGAAGGGGCTTTACCCATAGCCGTAGAGCCAAAACTCGGATGCAGCGTCGTCATTTGTCGTGTTGGCCGTGGCTGGCATGGTGGCCTTTGCTACAGCCAGAGAAGATTGGATAAACTAGATGTCAAAGTACTACAGCACTTGCAGCACTTGAGAGTTGATGAAGCGCTGGTGGTGGTCTTTGCAGGGGACCAGGCCCAATATTGGGTCCAGCCTGTAGTACAAAGCCGACCGCGTGGGCCGTGACAGATCTGTTAGTCAGGGCGTTCCGGCACCACCAAACACGATGTCGAGTGGGGCAGCACTTCGATACTCGGTAGGAAGGGGAAGGCACGACCAACATCGTCCACGCCGCCAATATCAGCACCACCACAACAGTCATGATGGTGGAATTATGATGATTGATCCATACATCGACGGTCCTGCGCACAAATTGGTGGCGGGTAGCATGAGAAAAGGGGGCAAGCGGCATTGTTGTCTGCTGTCTGCCGCGCTCAACTGATGCCCTGGTTACCTAGAAGCTGGGCAAACACAAAGCCGTTTTATTGATTCAACTCAATTGGTGAACCGACCCGTCGACACGTGCTGGGCACTCTGGGGCTACATGTACCGTGGTGGTGCTGTGTGAGACCTCGACATGGTGTCCTGGCAGCCTGGCAAGGTATCCCAATGCCGTATTCCCGCCTGGTCCAAGAGTACTAGGTCCTACTGTAGGTAGTAGTACTTATGTACTAAGGTACCTACACTCGGTACTTTGGGTGACACAGGTGCTCCGTACTGTTCGGAGCAATAGTAAGTTAGTAGTAGCTGGGGCTGACAATGACATTTCGATCCAAACAGTTGACATGTCAGCCTCAAACCTCCAGCCTGAATCAGCCCTGCCGCTTGTCCATTTGTATAAACCCATTTGGCACCTCGCCATCTCCCTCATTTCTACCCCGGCGTTGGCCATCTTCGTATTGCACCAACCAGTGGACTGCATCATGGCATACAACAGACCCTTCGACCCTGATGCCTTGCCCAGGTACGCATTCGACCCCTCATCGCCACTTCGCGATGCCGCACCACAACGAACCAGACATCGAAGTTTAGGATAGTTTGTTGACGCTCTCTTTCTCCTTTGCGTAAGGTTTGCCGAGCCCGAACGAGTAAGTCATTCACTCTATTCGATCTTATTTTCATTCAATTTTTTCCTTAAACAGTCTGACTATGCACGCCGAGAGAAGAAGCTCTCTAAACCGTGCTCTACGCGTTCGAAACTCCCATGTTGACACAATCCCTCTTCACAACATCTCTAGAAGTCTGGAACCACGCCGCCGCAAACATATCAGCAAAACCGCTACGAAAAGAAACCTCCTCCCGCAACCCCGAGAGACAATTACCCTCCACCACATCCCCAGCCAACTCATGGTCAAACCTTCCACAGCAGTAGTAGCCATGGACCTGGGCCGGCCGCACCTCGACCTGCCTCCCAGCCTCAAAGTCGCCCACCACATCAACAGAATTACTCAGCGGCCCCGCCGACTCCAGATCCTGCATCAGGCTCTGACTCGACACTGCTTCCGCTCTTCCGAGCTGTAGACAAAGACGGTGAGTTTTCTTTACGGGAAGAACAGACATGTCGACACATAGCCCCCCTCTTGCCATTTCCCTGAAGGACCATTCGGCAAAGGAGACAAAAAAAGCTTCTTCTCATGACATTATTCGGCTGACATGTAACTAGGGACCGGCCAGCTCTCTGAAAAGGAGCTCTCGGCAGCTCTCGTGAACGGTGACTGGACAGCATTCGACATACAAACTGTCCGAATGATGATCCGCATGTTTGACTCTGATCGCAGTGGCACCATCAACTTTGAAGAGTTCTGTGGACTATGGTCCTTCCTTGCCTCCTGGCGCACTCTGTTTGACCGATTCGATGTCGACCGCAGCGGAAACATATCTCTCCAGGAGTTCACCGATGCTCTCATCGCATTCCGCTACCGCCTCAGCCCCCAGTTTGTCGAATTACTCTTCCGCACCTATGATAAGCGCAACGAGGGTGTCATGAGTTTCGATCTATTTGTGCAGAGCTGCATCTCGCTAAAGCGCATGACGGACGTTTTCAAAAAGTACGATGACGATCGAGATGGGTTCATCACGCTGAGCTTTGAAGACTTTCTGAGCGAAATCTTGAGGCAGCTGAAGTAGAGGGATACCCAAGAAGAGCAATCATATTGGGCTTGTTGAGTGGGAGTATACCATGAAACGCAGTAGTTGGGATTAGGATATACACGCATGTAGATGGTTGGAATTGGGTGCGTGGTTTGTTAATGATCAAGCTTTTGGGTTGGATGATACCCTCACGAACCGAGAGATGAACCGTTCTGAGAACTAAAAGAATGAGGTAGCTGAGTGGTTATGTGGCGTAGTGAGACAATATCGCTCTCGATTTTGTTTTATTTTCTTATCTTACGGGAGGAGAATATTTCCAATACCTGTATGGACCTAGAGGAGCTGAAAGCCACAATTTCATACTGATAGTATTGGATACTAAATACTATGAATAAACTCAAGCCTGGGGCCACAAAATATAGAGTACGGCTAGGTATGTGCAGCGTGAAGACGCAAGGTATAAAGGAGTATCGCTCCATGAATTCCGCTGGCGATGCAACGCCAACGAAACGCCCTCCACGGAGGCATATCACGGCAGCATAGGCTGAACAATAGTAGGAAAGCCTTGAGCCTTTCAAGCCAGAAACATACTCGGCCAGAGTTTACTCACCCTAAACGGCGAGCTTATACTTTCCCCTGAGGCATTCGCATAAAGCAAATGGGGAATACTCAGACGACGATTCAGGTAGCCTGATCCCATGGAAGACGCTGCTTCAGTGGCCCACACCCCGTCGCTTGTCAGAGCGATTTCCTCGCCAATATTCAAGGCCATTATTTCCGTCGGCCTGTCCATCTTTCCGCAGCGTCTGGAACTCGGTTTGCGGGTGTTGTGGAAGCCAACCGTCGCACCGTGGACAGAGTTGCGCACCTCATGTGTCTTGTACTTCTTCCTCCGAGTCAATCGCCTGGCTAGACCTCTAAGGAATTTGTCTCCGTCATATGTGCTGATCCAGGCTCTTGCACCAAGCTTAGCGATGATCTCCTGGCCGTGATGAAAGCCACTCGTGACGTTGCCGCCGAGCCACCAGGGTTGAGAGACTGCGTCGAAGCAGTGTAGAAGAGCTGTGAGTGGCAGCGCAGCTTCAGAGACAAGGTGTGACGTTGCGTATCCCTCGATGGCGCTGTAGGAAATGCCGTGGGGGGAAAATATCACGGATACCCCAGACACACTCCTGTTCTGGGGGTGGGAAAGAGTGGTCAGAGATCGACCTGCCTTCGACGAGTGAGCAGCCGGGCTTTCGGTAGGTGTAAGGGTTGGCAAAGCTGGGAGAGGCGGTAAAGTAGGCGTTTCGATAGCTTCAGGAGTGTATAGCTCACTTGGGCTCGTTGTGCGTGAGGCAAAATCCAGCGAAGGAGTTGAGAGAGGAGTGGAAGCTGTGGTCGCCGGCGGTTGAGAGATTGATAACCCTAAAGGCGCTGGCCTGTACGTTATTCCTATTGCCGAATCAATCCCTTTCGTACTTCTCCCTCGGGAGATGAAGGAAACTGTCACAAGCCCTTTGTGTCCTCCAGCGGTACCAGAGCGTATTGGTATTCGGATGACGGTGTCTCGACCGGTTTGTCGAGGGTCCTGCCATCGCTGAAGGGTCAGAATTTTCCTGTCATCGAAATACTTCCAGCTTCGGATCTGTTTCGCAGCCGTAGGCTCCGCTAATATAATCGTCTTCGTACCGCGAGGAGCCAGTTGCCGAAGAGTAGCCTCATTGCAATGGTCGCTGCGACCGTTACTGACAATGACTAAATCAGGCTCAGGTAGGTCTCGCAACGTTGAGACACATGCTCCCTGAACGTGCGTCGTCGAAGAAAATTTGGAGTGGAAGATATTTGACGGTCCTACAAGCCACGGATCGAGGAGAATTCGGAACAGTTCGGGCATACTTGCACCATCGGGGGGGCCAGACTCAACCGGTTCGAACGTAAGCAAAAACGATGCATCTCCATTGAGCTGTCTAATGCTAAGCGCCATGTTCGGGGTTTGTAGGCGTGATTCGATGCCCAAGGAGCCTCTTGTCAGGGCTGAGAAAGCGCCCGAGAATAACAGTTGCGTGTAGGCAGATCTTATGAGTCCGAGATTTGGTCCATACTGCCTGGGCTGTCAACAAAAACGTACTTCTCTGAAACATTGATAAAGGTATTGCAGAATGTTTCACAATTGGTATTATGTACAGCCAAGATCCTGTGCTTCGAAGCAAGTTCTGTCAGTATATTGGTATGAGAGGGTCGATCCGGCCACCGAACAGACAGATAGCGTTTGGAACCGCTGGAAAACCATGGTCAACACTCTTCAGAACGTTCATCAGACTCGCCCACCCACCAAACACCTGAATTGTTGCAAATGGTCGTTTGAGTCCTATTTCGAGCCAGCCGTGAGATGCGCCACCTGAAGTGTTTCCCAAATCGGCCCTCATGTTGATGATCCGATCAAAGACAGGCGCAACACGACAGCCAAGGAATTCAACGTGGGAGCTGCAACAAGAGGCTCTGATGACGAGAAAATAACTTCAAATGTCACGGCAACAAATTTACATACCAGTGTAGGTAGTTGCATTTTGGTCAGCTACATGCCAGTCGCCCTCCCAGGCCTACTTGGTCCTAGGAACTCCATTGCCCCCCCCCCCAAAGTTGAGTTAATGTCAACAAGCAGGGGAAATGCAAAAGTATATACAATGATATCATTGTGCAGTACCGTCAGACCTGAATGTATGGATAGTCTGGCGAGTGCAAATTAGGTTGTGTGAGCTGGTTGTTGCGATGGCTTACGAGAACGCTTCTAGCTGTCTGACCCAGCACCAACATTTGCAGCACTGGCATCTGCTCAACGAAAATGTATTTGACGGCAAAAATATGTAGGGATTCAGACTCAAACTCTGGCGTCCCGAATGCATGTGTGCAATTAATTGCGCTAGTTGACCGCCTGGGCTTCATTGCCGTATCCCAGGCCGGCGATTAGGAAGGAATGATCAAGTTTAGGAACGTCGCACAACCACTTGAGTTCCCGAAAGATGCCCCACCTGCACGCCTGGTCTGGAGGGGCTGGATTGGTGTCATCAGTCTCAATGCTCCGACCAAGGACCCTCCTTGGCCCCCTGGCCCATGCATCCTCCCCCCCTCCACAAGTCGCACGCGCGGGGTCACCGCCTGGCAGTTCAACTTGCGATAAAGCTGTCAGCTGGGCTTATCTACTTAGTATCCTGGCCTGGGTACTCCGTACTTGGCAGAGAGACCAACCGAGGGTGCTTGGTTCACAACCAAGTTAGGTAACTTACTGCCTCTGGCTGACGAGGACAAATCATTAATGGCGGCGGTGACAAGCACCGAAACATACCCAAAGCATCTTGAGTTTAGGGAACAACTTTATACTGGACCCAGGTCTCCTCCAGACGTCGTAAAGAGCAGCAGCTTGTGCCCATGCTTCCGAATTCAATGTTATTGAATGCGACAGCACGGTGAGAATAGCGATGGGCGTCTGGAGACATCAATGATAGCATGCCTACTTTAAGTAGAAAACATGAATGGTTCAATGTTGGCAGGCACTGAAGGCCCTGGGAGGTCCACTGGGTGCCTCAAGCCGCATAGCCTCATAGGTCTGGCGGTACCTATATAGGCACTACTTAGATGTATTATCGATTGATGAAAAAGTGATGTCAGCGGTCGACTGCAGGACAGTGTGACTGGCAACGTTGAGCTCTCGAGTTGAACTTGGCAGCTTCAACCCAATCCATCCAGCCCAGCCCCTTGCACCACCCCATCCATCCATCATCCATCCCGACGCCCTGGAACGCCGCAGCGATTGGGTTGAACTCGAGACAAGCCATCCCTCCTTCATAATGATCCAGGGGTACTCCGTAGAAGTAGAGGGTAATTGCCATTGTGTCGCGGTGAAACACTGACTGAGAAGAACAGGCAAGAAGTACGACGCGATGTCAGCACCGATAACAGTCACCGTAAATACATCAGCCTGCGAAGCTTTAATACTCGAGAAATCTGCCCAAACCGACGCCTGACGAGCCAGGGAACCGATGGCTATCGACTTGCCCTTGTGCACCAACCGCCAGCCAGCCGGAAGTACTTTAGCCGTTAAAAGTTGGTCTCCTTGACCTTTGGCTGTCGATTCTGTCTGGTCGGACCCGCCGGTTGATGACCTGCTTTAAGCCCAAAAAGGCATGCCATGCCATGGTGGTCCTCGATTACCGGAAGCTGCTTGGCTCCGTATCCGCTTACCATGGCACCAGAGACGAGAAGTAGAGCTGCTCCTTTGGCTCTGCTCGCCCATCATTCGTTGGGACCACATCTAAGTCTCCGGTCTCTGCATGACAGCAAAGGGTCCTCTCGAAGTTGACCAGGGTCGACTTTGTCCACATGAACACTTCTATGGTGAAGGTTGGCAGGGGCGGTTGGGAGCAACCGGAGAACCAGAGGATTCGCTCTACTGCGGGTTCTTTGACAAAGGTTGTCAATGCTGGCATCAACTGCGCCGTCGCGCTTCAGATGGCGGTCCCAATGAAAGCCGCCAGTGAATAGACCATGCGCAGTGTGCGCGAGTACGATACAGAACATGACCCGACAAGTCTGACCGCGTGCTGGCCGATTCTCTTGAACCGTTGGCTTCTTTGCCGCCCTCGGTTCTCTCACTCCGCTACTGAATCTCGAGATGCTTTACGCTGCCAGATGTACATATGTACACATCACATCACAGGACAACTCCGAGCTCTACGTACTCCGTACATGCAATATTTTCTCAACTGCCCTTGCCCCACGCAGGTCCACCAATTGTCGCCACCACAAAGTCGCAGCTCCAGCATTAGTACGGAGTACTAGTAGTACTGCTTGTCTAAACGTCCTGTGACGTAGAATCTGAACTGACAGGGTACATGATGTACTGCTGCCCGTCATTTGCCGCCCACATGCATCTTGGGGATGGAGCAGTGCGACGGACCCGTAGACGCTGAAGCTGGTAAGGAGCTTGGGGGAGCTGATCGTCAGCTCTTGAAGAGGAAGCTAGGGCAAGCTCCATCGAGAGCTCGGCAAACTGGGGTATTTATTCATGCTTGCTAACCCTCCATTTTCTTCACCCATGCGCTCAGCAGCCACTTGTGGCCGAGGATGTTGAAGGCGGAAGACAGCGCGGCCAACGGCCTGGGAGGCTAACATGGACTCGAGAATAATGGGTAGGGACCAAAACTTATTCTTTTGATGGCTTTCGGCGGCTCCAAATGGACTAGGCGTGGAATTCGACGTCAGGACCCGCCACCATCAGCATGTCCGAGTCAGTCCGAGTGTACGGAGCACGGAATACTAGATGGAATTCTAGACGTACATATGTACGTATTGTAGCGCTGATGAATAGCAGAACGGAGGAGGGCTGCACCATTTGTACGTACACTCGGAGCAGACGTTTGCGATTTGCCAGCATTGGTGTTCAGGGCGCTTCAAGTGTTTGCGCCAGACGCCTCCTGGACGCCTTGACCGTCCACAAGGTTCATCAGAGCGTCCTGTCCGTCTTGTCTTGAATTGATTGCACCAGCGGGTTCCGCGCAAGGGCAAAGGCAGCGAGAAGATGAGCTTGTGGCGGATTCTGGGCTGACGGGCCGGGTGAAGCTCGCAAAGCTCACGCAACCCCATCCTGCTGCCCACGCACCAGGTCATTTTACTGGTCTTTGGTATCAAGGAGCTTCCTATTGGCCACATGAGCCCAACACCTACCCTCCTGTCCCCAGCTTGGATCTGGACCCTCCGTCTCCCTCCTTGACCCTGAAGAGGGCAGCTGGCTGCATCGAAGACATGGACGCAGCTGGCCGTCGGGAGCTCCCCTTCATTACTCGAGCATAACGGGGGGGTGAGGGCCAAACGAAGGAGTCGGTCTGGTAACATCTGGAGAGAAAACCTCGAGCCTCCAGCGCTTTGCCCACTAACTCGGAACTACACGCGTTAATTGGGGCGCTACTTGTCAGAAGGTCAGTCGGCACCGGCTGGTCTCTGACGCTGGTCTTTGACGACCAGACGGGCCCAAGCCTCACGCTGAGACGCCGGGACGCTGGCCACTGGGGCGCTGAGACGAGAGCGCAGGGCCGGGCTGGCCGCAGCTGTGCAAGCAGGCCAAGCTATTGACGGAGTACAAGTTGACATTTGAAGGTCGACGGACGGCGGACGACAGTCGACATTCGCAGCTCGGCCACTACGACTAGCTCGCCCACCTCGATCCATGTTGAATGCTCCCACTTGGCACCTCGACCGGCCCTCGCTGCTTCGACCTCCATCTTCTAAAGTTCGCCTGCGCGCGGAGCCATCGCATTTGCCATTGACACATCTGAAGTAGATCGCCCACCACCCCTCCAGGCAGGGACCGAGGGCCAGGGCAGTTCCTTCATCGCCCATCGCCCATCGCCCATTGCCCATTGCCCATCGCACGTCGACTTCATCAGCGTCCCCACCTGCTTGCTCTCAGCTGCTACTCCCAGCTTGTTGCTCTCCTCCCCTCCCCTCACAAGCTCCATGTCGTCTTGCTCTCAAATTGCCCTTCATTATATTCTAAAAGTTCCTTACTCGCCCTTCTCGCCAGACCCCGGTGCCCTCCCAGCCCAGCCTAGTGTTGTTGCAGCTCATATACTTGCTTGCTCCGAGAGGAGCTTCCTCAAACCTTCCTGGCAGCCACAACCACAACCACAACCTGCAACCTGCAACCTGCAACTTACGGACTTGTGATCTGCGACCTGCGACCTGCGACCTGCCATCTTCACCTTCTTCCACCTGGTAACTGCTGATTTCCTACTATCATACCTACCGAACCCCGGGAGTGTGTTTACCACTACCTGACGCTCATCCGGGGCCTGGCTGCTTTTCAACATTTAAAAGTCCAGTCGCCAAGATTCCTTTTGCAGATATTGTTACTTTACACAACTGCATTTCGGCATTCCGAAGCTGCATCTGTCTGGTCAGAGCCTCCGTGGGCTCAAGCTCAACTTCATTGTCAACACCGCTCAACCGTCCAAGGAAATACTACTTGGTCCGCCAATTCATCTATTCTTTGGCTATTGCCACCGACATACGTTCAATTTACCTGCTTTCGATATTCGCTTTATCTTGAGACATCCGATCCACGTTCCAGCTTTCACGCCCACTCTTACAAGCTGCATGCTGCTGAAGGGTCAGCTTTGGCCGACCAAAAGCTTACTACGAGAGCCTTGAACCTTCGCAGGATTGGTTCTTTTCCTTTCAGACTTTTTTTTATCATCTCCCATCTCTGATTATACTTCATTCCGTTGCCATTTCAAGCGGTTGCAGTGCTCCGATCACGCAGTTCATCGACATCAGACTTGCTGGCTTGGCTCTGCATTGACGTCGACTCTCTCTCCAAAAAAACTGCCGCCTCTGTCTGCTGCGCATTTTCCCCCAGCAAGCCTGATATTGGTAGCTGCAGTAGCTTTGATTCGAATCATCTATTCATAACCCTGCGATGCCAAAGCTTGGCATAGTTTCTATTTTGTCAATTGACAGACTTTAGAGCTCTAGTTATTTGGCTTCTCTCGCACCAACTCTCTTTGTTCCCCCACGGCGAACCTGCTCCAGGCGCATGGTGGGGTCAATCAAGATGCCGCCTCGAACGTCGTTGACATCGTCCTTTTCAATCACAGACGCCAATAATGAGGTTGTCTGCCCGCTTCGCAATCAAGATGGTTCAAGCTGTCGCAAGCGATGCATTGGCGTAAGTACTCACTCCCCGCTGCCTTGGTTCCATCCTGATCCGTCGTTGCAATCTATCCCGAGGGTGCCGTGAACCTCATTACCTACGCCAAGCAGCCATCGTTTTGAGGCACACTCCGTCCAACGTCTCGTCCTCAGCTTCAAACGTGCCCCCCTCTGGCTCTGGGTTGCGTATTTCTCCACATCTAACATGTATTGTCTTGGTTTAGGAGAAACGGTACCGCTCAATGCAGGAGCACATTCGCCGCGCTCACCCGGAGCATTATATTCCTAAGCTTCCTGCCACAGAAGAAAGCTTCCTGCTCATGATCAACTCCCCTCCTTCGGAACATCGAGCTGACCAAGCTCCAACGTCAACCCCGCAGAGTTTGTCTCTTCTGTCTTGCCTGATTTTACAAGCGACAGACCGCAGGTTGCTAATCCCCACCACCGCACAGGTGCCCATGACCGACGAAATTACTACCGCGATGGCTCCAGCAACCCCGGTACCCCTCGCCACAGTGATGAATATACCATGAGCGGCGGTGGCTCAAGGCTTGGGGCTGCAAATGCCGCAGCAGCTCTAGCAGAGCTCCATGGCGTCAAGTCGGAGAAAGATGTGGATGTGGATGTAAGTCATTCTGGTGCTCACGATTGCTTGGCTCCATAAGGGTGACTGACATTTTTGGCCACTATCGCCTGGCTGTACTAGGGATACTATTCAGATTCCGATGGTCGCCGCATTCCCCGGACATCAATTGAATTGCCCCCGCTGCATTTGTCCAATAACGACATTACAAGCGATCCTTATTCGTCAAATGTAAATCGACAGCGCGAAATCCTTCCGTCACTGCTTGCCAATTCGCCTCCAGGCCGATCTTCCACCCTCCCTCCCCTTCAGAGGCCATTAGGTCCCAACCGTCCACGAAAGCAATCCATAACGAAGCGTGGACGCGAATCCAACCACAAAAAGAAGAGCTCGCGCGGATCTGCTGCTGATTGGATTCGGCGCTTCCAAAACGAAGATCGATTCAGACCTGCCAACGACCGCAAAGCCTTGTCAGCAGAGCCATCGGCGGATTTTGGTAAACGATGGGAGGATTTGATCGACGCTGCGGACCAAGCTGCATCTGCTGCCGGCGACTTGGATGATCGCACTCCGGTAAGCCTGGCAACGGCAAATACTTACAGGGACTGGCGAAGCCACTAACACTATCGCAGGTACCGCAGTCTCCAGTATCAATTCATCGAGCGTCCTTGCCACCATTCTCTCACCAATTTCAACCTGGGAGCTACCAAGCATCCCCGTTACAGCAAGCTTTGACACCACCCTCGTACAATCAAGACAGTATTGATCCCTTTCCGTCCGTCGAGAGTGGCGAGAGCGGCGAGAATTTCCACATCGGATCCCGTGGTCTGAACGATTCCTCGCCCAGCTACTCATCGTCGCAGAACACGCAGATTTACTGTGCAGCTTGCCAAAATGCTTCGCTGCTTAAGAGCTCCTACGCCTGTACCGAATGCATTTGCGGCCTATGTTCGGCATGTGTTGAGGTGCTTATGGCAGAACTTGGAGCTCGGAGGAAGTGCCCACGCTGTGCTACCATCGGCGGCCGGTTCAAGCCTTTCCAGCTCGACATCAGATGAATGACTCTGTGACGGTTAAAACCCTTTTATGACTCTGATTATTTTGTTGTTGTTGTTGTTTTACCCGTCCTCTCTATCTCACGTGCGCCTTAAAATTGAAGATGAAGATGGGCCAAATGTTTGCACTGATGCCTCGGCGTATAATTGGGGGATCATAACTACCATACAGGTTTTTCCTTTCAACATTGATTGCTCCTCCCGGGAGTTTATCATTCATTTCTTTTTATCCTGGGTTCCTCGGCTTCTTTTGAACGCATTTGGCTTGTCAGCTATCGCAAAGTTGTTGGCCAGGCTTCATGGCATCTTTCGATACAACCGCCGGTGCGTTGTTTCAAAGGACTTCTTTTTTTCTTTTTTTACCCCGTAAGTTTTTGTTACAACGGATGTCGGCGTTCAGCTATGGGATAAAACGGACCGTTGGATATCGGATACCGGTTGGGTGGCTTCTTTGTTTGATATCTGATGATATTTGTTGGCTCATTGCAAGGTCATGGGCATGGTTTTACTGTTAATGCTAAGAAGATGCCCCGATCCTTTATGCTAGGTTCTATCGTACTTGAATACACGTCTCCTTGGTATAAACCACTTTTGCATGTGAGAAGATGGTTCAACGTAGGTTTTGATTGAGTCGCCAATGTTTGCATTGCAAATCCACCTGTACCAATGGCAAACTGTGTCAACTCTTGTGCCGCGGGCGGGTGGGATATACATGTATCCAAACCTCATCAGACTGTGAACCGTGACAGGCTCATGGCCGCCTCCCAGTCCTCTCTTGTCTCTCTTTCTCCTGCTTCTGCTTAAGCAATACATCCCTCGCAGCCGCCCTCACATTCCGACTGCCCCCCAACTTTGGACCCCTGAGCACGTCGGCTTGCTGCTGCTGCTGCTGTTGCTGCTGCTTGGCCGTCGGGGCCGGGCGCCTCTTCAGCCGCCGTGCGGCCACCTCTTCTATGTACCGCTGGCGAAATTCATCCGCCATGCGGTCGTCGGCGGAACGACCATCCCCCCCGGCCACGGGGTTATTCTGTACAGGAACGTCGTATACATCCACTAGCAAAAGTCAGCACTGCTCGTTTCCTATCCCGTGTACTTGCTGTGTGATGACGCCCTGCAAAAGGGGGCCAGGCAAGTTGGGGCAAGACGTACGTTTATTCTCGTGGAGAAACGCGTCGACGAGCTGATCCCGCTTCACGTCGTCGCTGCCGCGGCGGTTGCGCCCGCGCTTGGGGCGCGCGGGCTCCGTGGTGTCGGGGGGGCGCTTGCGGGCGTCGCGGCGCGCGTTGTTGTCCGCCGGCACGTCCACCTCGAGGAGCTTACCGTGCTTGGTGGGCTGGTCGTGCGTGCGGTGGCCGGGCCCGGCGCCGGCGGGCGGTCTCGCGGGTGCTGCTTCTTCTTCCGGGGGCGCGGGCGAGGGCCCCGGGGCGTGGGTGGACAGGCGGGATTCTATGTATTCGTTCCTGAATGATTAGCTTCTGCGGGTGCCGCGCCCCTGCTGCTGCTGCTGGGGCGCGCGCTGGGGATTGCCGCGACATACATGTGTCTGTCGTTGAGGGTCGCGACGAGACCTGTCTGGTGGGTGAAGCGGTCTGGGATTCCTTTCGGGGGGGCCCTGTCTTGATGGTCTGTCGGGGCGTGGGGAGCGGGCGCGTCGTGGTCGTCGGAGCTGAATCCTACGCCGCGGAGGCGGGCTCTCCGGGCGTTGCGGACGCGCATGGCGGCTGTGACGGCGGATTCTGCGCCGTTGTCTTGTTCCTCTTGGCTGCTTGGTTGTTCGCGGGTTGGGGTGTCTTTGGGGGTTGTTGCTGGTGGCGGGGAGTCGCCGGCGCGCTGGCGGTAGGCTTTGCGCTTCTTGGAGGGCCGGAATACTATGGCTGTGGCGGGCTCTTGGGACGGCTCCATGGTGAGGAAGCTGTCGTGGGGGATGGGCGCAGGGTGAGGATGGTGAGGATGGTGAGGTCGTCGCGGGTGGGTGGTTGGAGGATGGGTTCGTTTTTGAGGTTGATCGGTCGGCGGGTCGTGCCGATATCGATAAGGCTTGTGGAACGGGGAGGGACGTCATTTGGCGGGACACGAAACCGGGTGCAGGACATGGGCACTCTGATGGCTACGTATTGCACGTGTGTGACGAGAGGAAAGTTTTTACACGTAAAAGAGGGACAATTACGCTTGCCGGGCGACTCGTTGTTCTGTTTTAGTCGGCGCAAGGCCCATGGAAGCATCTTTCAACCTAGGTGCTTGAAATTCGGCAGCACATGGCGGCTCCACCAGTCTCGCCGTCATCGTCTCTCAAGCTGCGCTGAGATGCAAGCTCGACTTGGAAACGCCCCTCTACACTCGTCGACTCGCGACACATCATCATCCATCACACCAGAGTACAGATGGCTAAAAGAGTAGGCGGCAATGCAAAATACGCCCCACATGCTCAAACTAACCCCCGAGCGCCGCAGGTCTTTTTCGTCGCACACGGCGGCGTCGTGCAAGGTACGTCAGACTTGACTCCTCACAGCCAAGTTTAGAGTTCAAGGGTCTGGGGGCTCTTGCTGACGGTTCGCACGACAAGGCGTCGGATTCAGGTAACTGTCCTTGGACCGGTAGGAAGGGAAAGGGGCGGAAAGCACCACCAGGGTAATGACCTCCCGAGTACAGGTATTTTGCGAGAAAGAGAGCCGAGGAGTATGGAATCACAGGCTGGTGCAGAAACACGGCAGACAACAAGGTTCGTCACCACCGTTGCGCCCCTTGCCCGCTACCGTCATGAGCCTCGAGAGTCGTTGCTGAATAGAAACCCTACAATACAGGTAGAAGGAGAAGCGCAGGGCGACGAAGACACTCTTTCCAAATTCCTTAAGGATGTCGATCAGGGACCGCGGCATGCCAAGGTTGTACAGCTCACACGGGAGGATCGCGATGTCATTGAAGGGGAGGCGAGCTTCTCTATACGCCATTAATATTGGCAGTCGCCTGTGTATATGTGTGTTTGGTATCATGTTTATTTATCCAAGGATCGCCATCGCTTTGTATCAACCATGCACCCACCTATAGTTAGTAATCAGAATAAATACAAAAATACGTCAACTTGTGCTTTCAGAAACCTCGGCCCCTTCTTCTAATGACAGGCTTCTTGACCGCGCCCTGCGTGACAATCTTCTTGGTGTCAGCAGGGGCCTTCTTTTTAGTCGCCTTCTCTTCCTCGGCTTGCTTGCGCTCTTCGTCTCTACGCTTGTCCTCTGCCATTTTTGCCTCGATTTCCATCTTGCGGTTGAACTCAGTCTCGGTGATGCGCTTGTTTCGGATCGAGTATCCCTTCTCCTTGACCGAGTAGAACACGCCACCGAGATCGGCGAGCCAGTGAGGGTCCACCGCCGTGACGGTAGAGACGTAGACTTTGGACGTGAGGATGAGTTCGTGGTAAACTACGTAATCCGGCGGGTGGCCGGCGTAGAGAGCGCTCGTTGGATGGAGCTGAACGGCCAAGTTGGTCCGCAGATTGATGTATTCGCCCGAACCCTTGTACTTTGCCGCCTGGTGATAGTAGCCCGAACAGATGCATTTTCGGATAATGTCCCAGTCCATGCCGCAGCTGTTCATCTCCATTCCCTGAGCCTTGATAATGTCCACGATTTGCTCACGCACTTCTTTGGCGCGACGCAGTGATTTCGAGTGCAGGAAGTGTTTGATGCACCAGCCGTCTGAGAAGCCGTGAGCTTTCCAGGCTTGGTACACTTGGAGATACGTCAGGTGGTCTGATTCGTGCACCCAGAACTTCTCTCGTTGAGCATCCGCCTCGTCTTGGCGCTCCTTTGGTCTGTAGAACACGTTGGGGACCGAGAGCATGGACACAATCGTAATCATTTCCTCGCTGCAGCCATACTGCTCGGCCGTAATCAGAAGCTTGGCCAAGGACGGGTCCATGGGAAAGGCGCTCATCTTGCGCCCTAATTCAGTGAGCTCCCCGAGATTGTCCAACGCGCCCAGCGCCCAGAGATCGAACATGGACGTGGAAATGGTGTCCTGCGGCGGCGGGTCCATGAAGTCAAAGTCGAGCAGGTCCTTCACCCCCAGGGACTTAAGCATTAGAACCGTATTCGAGAGATTTGTACGCTGGACCTCTGGAATCGTTTGCAGGTATAGCTCCTCCTTGAAAGCCTTTTCTGTGTAGAGACGAAAGGCTTTTCCAGGCCCCGTTCGGCCGGCACGGCCAGAACGTTGCGAAGCATTGGCTTGAGAGATTGGCGTGATTTGAAGCGTATCCATGCCCATCTTGGGGTTGTACACCTTCATTTTTGAATAACCTGCGTCAACCACGTATTTGATACCGTCGACTGTTAAACTGGTTTCTGCAATATTTGTCGCCACGATGCATTTTCGTACCCCTGGCGGAGCTCGGTCGAAAATCTTTGCTTGCAAGTCTGCCGGCATTTGGCTGTAAATGGGAAGAATGCTCAACTTTGGCGCATCATTCAACGCATCCAACCGCTTCTGTACCAGTTCGCAGGTGATTTCAATGTCTTCCTGTCCAGTCATGAACACCAGAATGTCACCTGGATCCATGGAAACATGAATGGCCAAGACTTGCTGGACTGCCTGGTCCACATAATCCTCAACTGGCGATCGATGAAACATGACATCAACTGGGAAAGTTCGTCCAGGAATTGTGAACTCTGGTGCACCTCCAAAGAAGTCCGAGAATCGTTTCGCATTCATCGTCGCCGAGGTCACAATGAGCTTGAGGTCCCGTCGCCGTTGAAGAATCTTCTTGAATAGTCCCAGTAGGATATCAGTGTTTAATGCACGCTCGTGCGCTTCATCCATGATGATACACGAGTATCTGTCCAAATCAGGCTCATTGAGAGATTCTCTGAGCAAGATGCCTTCCGTCAGATATTTAATAACAGTCTCTTTGCTTGTGTGATCTTCAAATCGAATGGCATAGCCACAGGTTGTACCTAGCTCGACTTCCATTTCTTCGGCAACACGTTTCGCTACACTCATGGCAGCAACACGTCGAGGCTGCGTACAGCCGATCATGCCGGTCTGCCCGTATCCATCCTCGTACAGAAATTGTGTTAGCTGTGTGGTTTTCCCCGAACCCGTCTCGCCAATAACAATGGTAACTTGATTTTCTCTGATAACTCTTAAAAGTTCTTCGCGAACCGCAAATGCCGGCAGATACTGTCGTTGTTCTTGAAGCGTTTTGCTCCTGCTAAAGTCGCTGGCACCTTTGGATCTATTGATGTGCGCGCTGAACTTGTTGCCCTTGGATTCGCTCTTCTCGGCGCCGTCTTCACCAGGTCCAGGTAAGGCGCTGTCTTCGTCGTTGTCTTTTGCGCCCATGATGTTGCCCAGGGTTGTCCCAGCGATCGAGGTCGCTTGTTGAGCCTGTTTCTGACGCTCACTCTGCTGCCGGGCCTCCCTCACGACCTTGCTTCCTTTTCTGCTGAACACAGCCATGTCACTCTGGTAGTCCCTGACGGCGGGAACCGGCTCAAGCTGTTTCGTAAAGATGGTACGCCCGTCAAGAAACGGTGGCCGTAGGTCGTGAACCAGCAAATGTACTCGGGTTGCCTCTTCGTCGTCGAAGTCTGATGCCATGTCTCGTCGCTGAGCGACACCCGAGACCAACATTCTGTTCGTTTCCCATGCGTCGTTTTCTTTGCGACGCTGTTCTTGTCTCGCGTCGTACCGACTCGCCATCTTCTCGGCCTTGGCAGACTCCTGTTGTTGGCTTTCCCAGGCGGAAATCTCGTAAGATGCGAAAGGGTTGTGTGTATCGTCACCGAAAGCATGTCCTCCCAACTCATCGCCTCCGTACCAATCTCGGTCCAGTGCTAGCATATCGTCTTCGTCTGGCCCCTGATTCTCAGACTCTCTTGTCGGGGTAGCAGCGTAGCTAGATTGAGCCCGGGGTGTTGAGCCACGCGACCCATCTTGAAGCTTGTGTTGCGGTCGCGACGAGTCCAATCTTCTCCTCTTCGGGTTGTACCCATCGTAGTCGTAGTCTCTGCCCCCAGCCATCTTGTCGCCGTATGCTGCCTTGTGCAGCCAATGAATCGTGCGGTCGAGAAGCCAGTTCTGCGCGAGTCGCAAGGACTAGCTCTGAAGTCACAATCCCGTCGCGGAGTTTTCCCGATCCATGTCTGGCCGCGCTAGACAAGCTTGCTTATCGATAAACCCCACTACCAAAAATTTTGGACTCTACCAGGCCGATTTTTTGTTCCAGGTCGGGTTGAATTCTGGGTGCACCGCTTGCAAGGCCGGACAAGAAGACTGTCACTTGGCCCAAGATGTCTATGATCACGGCCGCTCAATGGGTGCCTCGCGGCTTTGCAGCCCCGTTTCCCAAAAAGTACACTCTGGACGAAAGTGAGTTTGCGCGCATAGCTGAACTCGCCAAGCTCCAACTGGACGATGCCGAGGAGGACTTGAAGGAGGCGCAAGAGGAGGAGGGCTCCGACGGACAAAATCAAAAGGCGGGCAACGACGAGAGCATGGACGTGGAGGGCGAAAAACCAACTACCGAGGCCAAGTTCGCCGCCCTATTCGAAAAATCATATAAATCAGGATGCTAACCTTGGCACAGATACGACGACGACGACCTGAAGGAGTATGATCTAGAGCATTATGACGACGATGAAGACGAACCCGAAGCACATGAAGATGGAACGGGAATGAGCATGTTCGGAAACCTCAAGGCATTGGCGTACCACGGCTCCAACAAAGATGATCCATACATTACTCTAAAAGACGAGGATGACGACGACGAAGAGAAAGAAGACCTCCAAATTCTCGCCACCGACAACCTGATTCTCTCCGCCAAGGTGGAAGATGAGCTCGCGCACCTCGAAGTCTATGTATTTGAAGACGAAGGCGACAACCTCTACGTGCATCACGACATCATGTTGCCCGCAATCCCTCTTGCACTCGAGTGGCTTGACATGCCCGTCAACAATTCTGGCGGCGATCAGGGGGGAAAGGGGAACTACGTTGCAGTAGGGACTATGGACCCAGACATTGAGATTTGGGACCTCGACACCATCGACTGCATGTACCCGAATGCTATCCTCGGGCAGGCCGCCAGCGCAGAGTCCGGCGAGAAGAAGATCAAGAAGGGCAAGAAGTCCAAAAAGGCCAAGGCAAACGACGCGTACCACGTGGACGCGGTACTTTCACTGGCTGCCAACAGACAACACCGCAACTTGCTGGCATCCGCATCCGCCGACAAGACAGTCAAACTATGGGATCTGAACACGACGCAATGTGCAAAGTCGTACTCCTACCACACGGACAAGGTGTGCTCTCTGGCATGGCACAATACCGAGGCTACGGTTCTACTGAGCGGCAGCTACGACCGCACCATCGTGGCCGCTGACATGCGAGCCCCCGACGCAAAAGCGCCGCGCTGGGGTGTAGAAAGCGACGTCGAGAACGTACGCTGGGATCCCCACGACTCAAACTACTTCTTCGTGTCCACGGAGAACGGCTGCATACACTACCACGATGTCCGAAACGCGCCCTCCAACCCGACGGCCACCAAGTCCGTCTGGACGCTCCAAGCCCACGACGAGTCCGTTTCCTCCTTTGACATCAACAGCGTCATCCCGGGCTTCATGGCGACCGGGTCCACCGACAGAACCGTCAAGCTGTGGAGCATTCAACCCACCGGTCCCTCGATGGTCGTCTCTCGCAACCTGGATGTCGGCAAAGTCTTTGCCACGACGTTTGCGCCAGATGCCCAAGTCGGCTTCCGCCTGGCCGTGGCGGGTAGCAATGGCAACATGCAAGTTTGGGACACGAGCACCAATGCTGCGGTTCGCAAGGTCTTTGCGCAAAAGGTTCCGGCTCAAAAGGACGACGTCGCGGAGGATCGTCTAGTTGGTGTCGAGGAGGACGAGAGCAGCTCGTCCGAGGAAGACGGCGAGGGACAAGAGGACGGGGAGTCCATGGACGAGGATTAAAATGGAGTGAATGAAGACGACAGGAGATTCACATTTTTTATAGTCTGTCAGAACGGCTGTGGTACGCCCTAATGAACCAGATGAGTCGTGTTTTGCGATTGACAATATCCTACATAGTTGATGCCATATTTTGCTTATAGATTAGCGAGAGGCAGAAAAAGTGGCAAAATGGTGTTCAAAAGTGCAATCGATTTCGCACGCTTCAAGATCAAACCTCCGTTGTCTTTTTTTTTCTTTGCCATGTATCCGAACGAGCCGAACGAGATGAGGCAGTACGCCGTTAGAGACGTGTGAGGATTAATTATTGCAAAGTACTGCCAAGACGTGTCAAATCTGGCCAGGGTCCTAACGCATTTGATTTATGACGGCACGTACAGTACACAGTACTTCTCTTCACCAGGCACCAGGCCCTCAGCAAAGTGGAACTCGTCTGTACTGTAGTTGTCCGAATACCTTACCCAAGTTTTAAATGAGCAGGGTTTGCGACCAGTCTCCAGATGTCATTGACATGGGACGGAGTGACCGTTGACCGTGTTGGCCCAATCTTGGTGGTGCCACTATGTAATATACTTGATACTGGATGTAGATGAGTAAAATAAAGAATAAAATGCACTTGTACACGCGGCATGGAGTACCGCGCTGCAAAGGAAACAGGCACATGCATGCTGGGCAAATTACCCCAATCTCAATGGCAGGCAGCTGCACAACACACATGTTGCAGATTGTACATGACGCTCCAGCCGTTACAAGCACCACCAGAGCGTCGCATCGAAAATTCAGACATATTTAACATTTACGCACATCAAACCAGTCAGAAACGTCGTTACCGTTTTCTGCTCATCCATCAGCTGAGCGCCCATCTGAGTCGTGCAGGCTGTGCGGCACTTCCCGGGGATAAACATGAAACCCACGACGAGATGAAACGCGGCTTGTGGATCGCTCGTGGATGGGCTCGTAGGGATGAAACGTGCGACGAATTAATCGCGTGGACCACGGTAGAAGAAGGAGGGGAGGAGTCGAATATAAACATGAAGACAAAAGGGGCGTTTGTTTCTTGTGTCTCCCTCTTGACGTAAACACGGGGTCTGGTGAGACGGTTTTTTCTTCTTCAACTCTATTCTAGACTATAGTCTGTTCCTGTTGCCGCGCATGCAAAAATCTCCTTGTTTCCGATGGAAACAAACTAGGCGTCAGTTTGGGACATCTGAGCCTGCATAAGTAATAAAGAAAACGTGGAAAACCGGGTGCACAGACAGGGTCGAGATGGGGACGAGGAAGACTGCAGGCCGGGAGACCGTCATCGGCAATTGTGAGCTCAATACAGAATTCGTGGTTGCAATAATTAGGGAGGACGGATCTTGGCGAATAGCCTCGATGATGGCGTCCGCCAGGGCAGCAGGCAAGGCGGGCGGGCAATACAGGGAGGACTCTTTACCCAGGAGTAGTAAGATGAGATGGCAGGGCAATTAATAGTACCAGCTCGGTTTGTGACTATTTAGTACATAATAAAGAAAAGGGCTAAAAATAACCTGAAAGGGAAGAGCAGGAGACCATGCCAGAAGTTGGCACGCGAGGACTTGGGCGGGCGGCTTGTGTCGAGATCTCAAAATGGCAATGGCAAAAGGCCAGAGATGTCAAAAGCGCGGAGCCATTGCAGGGACAGCACAAAGGTCCAGGCAGAGCAGAGGCAGACAAACCAGCACTGAGACATGTGCAAGATGGACAGGCGCAAGTCGACGGAAGCGCCCAGGGAGCGGCGCATTGTCATTGGCGGATGGCAGAGCAAATGAAGAACATTCATGTTGAACGCTTGTGCAGGCACCACGCGCCACCCAAAACTCTGAAACTGATCAGTCCACCAGTGATCGGCGCGCCGAACCAATGGCTGGCCGGGAGGGTGCCGTGAGTGGAAGAATTGAACCAGACATTTGAAGGGTTGAAGGGTTCGCAGCATCCTGAAGTCGACAGCACCCCATGCTCGCCCTGCCCAGGCACGGAGAAGGAGAACATTGCAGATACTACCTACTTTATGTACTACATATGTACTCACGCAGACGAGCCAGACTATTTAAGTACCCAGAAGTCCTGCTCAGAAGAGTACGTACCGAGGTTGACTTGCGCTGACACACGGCCTTGTCGATATCAAAGTACATATTAAAGACTTCGCATCGTGGCGTCGTGGCTCAGGGGGCATCGAAGCTCATTCTGTCCCAGGCGCTAAGGGATGCGGAACGTCCGGAGTGCGCGGCCTGCTGTCTTGTTTGTCTGCATGTAGTTTGTGCCGAGTATCGTGTCAGTTACTATTAGTGTCGATGTTTTTTTGTTGTGCGGCGCATGTCCTTGTGCTAAACCAAGACGCCACGCGACGAGTGGACCGGTATCGAGTCGGCCACGTATATACACGTACATACAGAGTGCTACAGAGACATGTTCGGCACCGAAGCTCGATGTCGTGCTGCCCGAATGGAGGCACCACGCAGCGCCAGGCATCAACTGCGGATTACGGAGTACAAGGAGCTGTCTTGGGAGCGAACCACCAGAAGCCAGAAGGTAGCGGTTCAATCACTGGTAGCAGGTAGAGTTTACAGCGGTGTGGCGCCCAACGTCAAGGTGGATATCGGACCAGACTCGAGTCCCAACCAGGGCAAGCAAATATTGGGGCTACTCCGTACAGCCCAAAGGATAACAGTGAGGAGCCGAAGAAAATGGTCAAAAGCCAAGTACGGAGTAGAGAAGTCGAGTCTGCTTTCTGGTGCCCCTTGATGGTTCCTTGCTCAACTTTTGGTTGCGTGGCAGGGATGGGCTGCCCCTGGCTAGCGAGTCGCTATCCGGGTTCCATTGGCCAAGCCCGCACCGCCGGCCCCACGACGGGGGTCCACACAGCCGTCCGACAAGCGCCTCGGGGCAGGTGCACGTTGTGGACCTGGGCGCGCCAACCTTCACTGGTTGGCCGAGTATTGCCAAAGGGCGACATCGATGCAGGGGCGAGCCGGTCATATCGTCCGTGCCATCAGCGGCTTGAGGTGGGAAGAGGGAACGGCCATGGGGCATTACGGAGTACTAGTGACTGGACGGAGTACTCGGCCCAGAGCTAGTAGCACTGCCCACGAACCGCCAGCCAGGGACCAGAGGGGGGATGAGTGGACGCCAACCAACAGTATTGAGCGGGTGAGGAGCCGAATGGGAACAAACTGAAGAAGAGGGGGTGGAGCCAAATGCTGCTTTCCTGCTTGTGCCTGCGTCTCTCCGTCTGTGCTCTGCCGTACAGGTAGTAGTACTCAGTAGTATTTACAATGTATTATGCTCTAGAGTTAGTACTAGGTTGGCGCCAACGACTGCATGTGGTTGGGCGATATCATTGAATCGACCAGACGCCTCCCTCGTCCCCCGTGTGCAAACGGTCCAAAGCCTCGACCCCTTCCATGGCCTTCGCGTCGCCTTCATATTTCCTTTGGTCGACAGGCTCGCGTCCTTGATTCTTTTTTTCGCTTCTTCCTCTGCGCGCTGGTTCTACGTCCATCTCTCTCTCTCTCTGTCTCTCTGACGTTGTTCATTCCGCACCCTTTGTTCGTTCCTTTTACAGTCCCGAAACCCACGTTGATTCTTGGGTCGTTCGATTCCAGTCCCTATCGCCCAGTGCGAAGTCTTTTACACCAGCAACGAGCCTCAAAATAGTTTTAAGACCTATCTCGAGTCCAACGTTGACCGTTCCTTTCGCAGCAGAAGCAGACTGACAGCCCGCGGTTGTCACCTGGCCGCCTCTCTGACACTCTCTCGGCAAACGGCGCAGGCCTTACTCTCCCTTTCAGCTTCACTTTCATCTCATCATCATTTTTCTCACCCCCAGTGGGCGTCGCCGATTCCACCACACTGGAACTGGATTTTCCCGTGTGTGCCACCAACTTGCGCAACTATTGTGCCCGCGTCCAGCTGGGAAATCGCTTCATCTTGCCCGTCACGGTGCTCCTGTGCGCCAACCAGCATTGACGCACCGAATCAACTTGGTCCCTTGCACCCTTTGTGCCCTCAAAGTCAGCGTCATCAGCCAACCGTCGCCCGTCGTCGCCCCCGTCTCACCACAGACTCTCACAGGACCAAGCATATCCGCATCCACATCTGCCATCCTGCTATCAACCAGACTTGTCAACGACCCACCACATCACCTCTTTTTTTGTGTGAACCAGGAGCTTTGTCCGACATCTCCCCCCCAGGCTTTGGATATCTTTTCTTTGCGGTTGGGACGCGGCCGGATTTTATATATCGGCAGCATTCATTTTACCCGCCGAAGCCGGGATTTGTTCATCGACTCACGACGTGCAGCCCACGACAAGCACCTTCCCCGTTCAGTCCGTGGATGCAACTGCGAGCAAGTCGCCCACTCACACCCGCTGCACCATCTGGTCCTTTTGCGCTAGTCACCGCTTCTCCAGCGCTATCAACAGCCCGCGATCCTCTGTAACGTTCCTCAGCGAGACCCATTTGGGCAAGTGTGTTCCTTCGTCACTCGTGGCCGCCGCACTTCACAGGTTAGCCGCTTACGGATCCGAGTCACAAGGTGTCTTGCACGAGAGCTTGTCAGCGCTTCGATCGTGACACCCCCCCCCTCGTGCAGCTCGCCGTGCAAACCAGTGTACACTGGTCAACCAGGGTCTAATATACAATCCGGCATTCCCTTCCCACGGCATCGAATCTCTTCCACCTTTTCCTGTTTGCCAGTCAACCTCCAAACATGTCGTTGTCGCGCGCTTTTACAACCCGCCGGCTGCGAGGTGGCAGTGACCTCGCCGACAGCGCCAAGATACCTCAGCGAAGCAACACCACCAAGATTCCCTACAACATTCGCGACAAGATTTCAGCCCCGGTGCAGCTTCTTCACACCACCAACATGCTGTCCTATAATGCTCCCGATATTCCGCGCTCGTCTCGCAGCAATTCAACTACCAGCAAGTCAGGGTCAGATGTTGAATCCCAGGACACGGCGGATTCCACACCCCCCACCAGTCCCGATGTATCTTCATTACCAGAGCCGAATCACTTGTCCTCGTACTTCAAACCTGCCGCACCAGCATCGACGACCTTGCCCGTCAAGGCAGAGCCCCCCGCGATTCCCAAGCGTTCTCCCTCGCACACCAAGAAGAATTCATTCGAAGCTATTGCCCGCCAGAGATCCGTCTCGCGCATGTCTCGAGATTCAGACCACTTCATTTCCACCAAGGCTGGCCAACCGTTCTCTCGCCCTCATTCGACGTCCACGAGAGCTTCATCTGCCTCACACGCCCCATCGCCATTTGCTCAGAAGCAGTCCACGCCGGCGGCACGGCCAAACAAATCAACTGCCTCGACCCAAGCTCAGGCCAAGGATTCCCATCCCTTCGGACATGAGTTGGCCCAGGTCACTGAGCTCGCAGAAGAGTACAGCGTCAACAGTTGCCTAGACACTATTGACGAGGAACAGCAGTATCTCGATAACCGAGGCCTTAAGAGGCTAAGCCCAGATGACTACTTGAGCGCTATCCAGGGTCTTTCGACAATGTTCTTCCCCGAACGAAGTCACGCCACATCAGCCGCACCCCTCTGGATTTGAGCCAATCGTTCCTCGGCAACGGCCGAGACAAGGGCACAACTCTTGTGGCGACCTTTTCTTTTCAACTCGCCATTCGCTGTACATATTCAAGGCACTCATTTTTGAGTGCATGAACGAACTGGCTGGTACGCTTCGCTCTTATTTGTGTCGCTCTCTTTCTTGTGTCAAAGCGGCGGAATCTCGCGGCAGAATGAATGAATGGAATTTTCGGACTACAGATACCAGTCTTTTTTGGGGGCTGGGCCCCTCGGGCAAAGAGGGAAATTCTTAATGGTAGATGGCGTTTTATAAGAGACCGGAAACGGGTTGATGATTTGAATGCTACGATGTGGATATATATCTCGAGCCAAATACTGAAGTTGGCAGTACAGAGCCCTTGGATCGCACTTGCGATGCCTCTACACACTCACTCAGGGACACTGATGAATGGATTTCCTTTTCATGACAAATATTGGCCGCCGTGACATGCAGCTTGACGAGCCCCTGGGATAAATTGTGGTACACTGACGCACCGTTGCGCCATGCCTCCTTAATTACACTCGGGATCATGGTGCAGTTTGCATAAGGCAGATCGACAGTCTGCAACGAGTCAAGGAACCACATGCCCCGATGGCCCCCGTGATCTCCCCGAGCGGCCCTTCTAAACCCTGCACATACGGAGGCGGCAGTATTAGTAAGGCTTGTATCCAAGACTGAATCAGATGACATGTGTGCGTAGGTATGCAGATGCCGGTGGCGTCAAATGTCGCACATGGCAACGGCCAAGTCAACTACCTAGGTAGGCAAGCTAGGTACTACTAGTACTCTGTAAGCGGTGTCTATGATAGTTTCCCTATGTAAAAGACTGGGAATTGTTGGATAGAACAATAGAATTCTACGTCTAGATTGTCCCTTGTGAGCATGTATTGTGCAGCCCGTTGAGCGGTAGCGACGCTGGCCACGCCGCCTGCTTTTCTTTTCTTTTCTTTTCTTTTGTTTTCCTTTCTTTTCAATTTCCCCTCTTTTTATTATTATTAGTATTCTAGCGACTGGTTCTGCCGGGAGCTTTATTGTATTTGCGTTGCGGCACGTAGTCTCGTAGCGCTAGTCGCCCATCGCGTGTGTCTGTCTCAAACAATTTGGGACCATTTCCCCCCCTCCCCTCTAGAATGTTGTAGATTTCCCCCCTAAGCCTATTTGACGATTTATTTTAGTGGCAGGGGCATTCTTTGGAACGGCGGTTGCCAGGCGGGATGTCTTTGAATAAGGGTCCTTGCGGGTAACGACGGCTTTCCCTAATGCTGCACACCGGCTTTTTTTTTTCTCTTTCTCGTCTCGGACGGATTTTATGGGGTTTAAGGGTTAACGGAGGGATAGGGGTATGTGCGAGGTTGCATCGCGGCGCTTTTGCGTGCGGTCACGCCTCAATGGGAACCGGCTTCTTGGGATGTGTCGTCAATCGGAAGGGGGGTTTGATGGCCGGGCCGGGTGTGTTGGCGACGACTCGAGCGTTTTGGCAGATTCGTACGGGCACTCCACGTCGCGATGAAGCATGTTGACGCAGGTCCGCCGGGTGGAATCTTGCACTTCCGTTGAGGATGAACCGCCGAGTGTGCTTCTCCTGCCCAGCGGCATGCTCCGCCCGCCGGCGGCATGGAATCCCAAAAGCAGTCACGGACTAGTTGACGTCATCGTCATTATTCCCGACCGTCACGCCTCACGTCACCGCCGCTGGCCCTTTTCGCCCGCCTGCTCAACTACCCGTCAGCGACATCGACTAGCCCCCGCAGCTGTTGCAGCCCTCGTCACAAGCAGCCTGCTGACTTTGGGTGGAAGAGCACAACGACGATGATGACGTAGACTCGGGCGGCGAGCGGCTGGCGGCTAGCGGCGAGTTTTGCCTAGGCCCCAGGCACGGAGGGACGAGACGAGGCGCTGCGCGTTCTCAAGGCCGCCTGGAGCCTCGACTTGGACTTCCGCGCAGAGGCCATGTCTTCCGGATGCTCGACTTGCCGTCATTCGAGAAGGAGTAGCGGGACGAGTACGCGGTGAGTGCCCCGGCGTTGTTGAGGATGCCGTGGAGGCCTATGATGATGATGCCCGGACCTTGTTGGCGTGTTGACGACGAGGAGCATTATCTGGTGCAGTCTTACACCGATGGGTGTAGACAGGTAGTGACGGGCTCGTTGGAGTTTACGTGGATATCTTCTTTTTTCATGAAATGAACCTTGGCTTGTTGTTTAGCAAAACGCTACTACTATATGAGAAACGCTAATTCCTTCTTCTCTCCTCTTCCAGGGCCGCGCTCTCCTCTGCACAGTCACAGTCCCTCGAAACTCCTGCCTGGTTCAATGTTCCCTCATGATTGTCCTCTCATCAGCCGCCCTCGGCCCTGTTCAGCCTAGCCGAGCTTTGTGAATACCAAATATGGAAAAGAATGCAAAGTCTGCCTGTCCTCGGCAGACGTCTAGAATTACGGCATATCTGCAATGCGGGGGATATAAATGCCAGTTCAGACGAGTTGAACCCCAGTATCAAAACTCCTTTGTTTGTTTGCTTGTTTGTTCTTGCGCTGCACAATGTGAATAAAACACACCCAAAGTGTTGGTTTTTAGTAAGAAATTTGTAAAAAAAAAAAGAAAGAAAAGATGGGAACCGCCTGTATCACAACGACTACCGCCCGCCCAGCGGCTCAACCATCTTGACAAGATCGCTTATAGTAACAATCTTGTACCCCTTCTCTTTCAGCTCCGGCAAAATCATCCTCAACATGGGCGCCGTCCACTCCCGCCTGTCGTGGCAAATGACAATGGCGCCCGGGTGCACCATGCTCAGGATGTGCTTGGCGTTCCTCTTGGGGTACGGAATCTGCGGATCGTGAGGGTACACGCTGCCCAGCGTGATGCGGTAGCCCCTGTTGCCCAGCATGTCGCGCATCTTGTAGTTGAAGAAGCCGGAGCCCGGGCGGTAGTAGTTGTTGGGCAGAATCTTCCCCTCGGCCTCGTATGCGGCCACCAGCTTCGCCTTGACCTCGCCGACCTGCCTCTCGAGCTCGTCCATGCCCAGCTTGTTGGCGGGCTCGTCGTGCATGCCGTGGTTGGCGAGCTCGTGGCCCTCGCGTATCAGCGACCGCAGCGTCTCCTGCCGGCCGTCGGCCTGCGCACCGATGACGAAAAAGGTCGCGTGGGCGCCGTGCTCCTTGAGCACGTCCATGATCTCGCCCGTGTGCGCTGACGGCGCGTCGTCGAGCGAGAGGGCCACCACCTTCTCATCCGTCGTCACCTCGAAGAGCACGTCTGGGTACTTTTGGCGCAGGTAGCCTATCAGCGCCTTGGGCGGCTTGTATATGCAGTATATCGAGTAGATGGGAAAGATGAGGAGGAGCGCGAGGATGCCCAGCAGCGTGAGGGTGGCCATTCTATTGCGGCGTACTTGGCGCCGGAGCTTGGTTGGCAGGCGGAAGAGGGCGAGGCGCGGCATGAGGGCATTTAGATGGAGGCAGAGGCGGGGAGGATGGTTTGTTGATACCGTCGACGATGCGCGCCCGGTCGTGATGCCCGCAACGCCGTTTGATGTGTGGAATCTGGTGGGCTTCACTTCATCGGCATCGATTCGTGAGGTCGATCGATTCGGAGTCGATGGGATTTTTGTTGCTGGGACAGATGGATCGGAGAAATAATGCCGATGTCGATGTTGATGTCGATGTCGCTGTCGCTGTGTACGTGATTGAACTGTTTGATCTCTTTTTTTTTTTTTTTTTCGATGTGCCCCTGGCTGCTACGTTCTTGTCTTGCTGCGCGTACGGAGTAGCACTACTAGTACTAGACCCTGCACTAGATGAAGATCCAGGGTCAATGATTAACTTGATCTTATTGGATGTCAGGTGCGTGAGCAGGGGGCGGCAGGGATTGGCGGGTCTTGGTTGAGTTCAATGTTGCTTTAACTGTTGCCTGAATGGGTTCCCATGGAAATAGAAACATGCATCAACTACAGTTATATACCGACAGCCCATCAGCCCACAAGAGTTTCATTTTGAACGCTGGCACCAGGGCATAGACACGAGCAAGAACATGGCATCTGGCTCGCGATCGCGCCTTCTACTCGCCATGTGCCACATAGGCTCTTCTCAAGCAAACACCTGCCACCTCCATCCGTAACCTACTTCTTCAAACTTTCAAAAGCCTGCTCAATATCGCTCTTCAAGTCCTCAAACCCTTCCACGCCAATGCTCACTCGCAACAGTCTCTGGTCAACAAGCGGGTCCGTCATGGCCCGCCACTCGATCAAGCTCTCAATGCCCCCCAAACTAGTGGCGTGGTGAAATAATCGCAGTCTACTAGGAAGCTTCTTGGCAAGATCCATGTCCTTCATGACAATAGCGAAAACAGGTCCATACCCGGCAGGCATTTGTCGTCTCAGCCAGCTCCCTTCCTCTGCCGCCTCAGGCTGCAGACTAGCATGGTGAAGCTTCTCGACGAGCTGTCCGACAACAGTGGACGAGTCGCCGAGCTGACTTGAGAGCCATTTGACGAGTGCTGTCGCCGTCTGGCTCTGCCTGGTGACTCGCAGCTCCAGCGTCCGAAGAGATCTGAGTCCCAGCCAGCCCTCCATGCTGCCCATTACCGAGCCGAGAACAAGACGCTCTTCGCGGAGCTCCTTGGCCCAGCTGTGCCCGGGCCGGACCGCCAGAACGCCGCACAGCATGTCGGAGTGCCCGCCAATGTACTTTGTTCCGCTGTGCATGATGATGTCAGCTCCAAAGTCGAAGGGATTCTGAAGTGGAGGCGGTGCAAACGTGGCATCCACAGTCAAGAAGGCACCGGCTTTGTGCGCTTTGTCGGCGTAGAACTGGAGGTTGCGGGCTTCGCCTGTGGGATTTAACGGTGTTTCCACATGGATGATGTCGCCAGGCCCCAATTCGGACGGGTCACAGTCCAAAGAAAGTTTCTGAAGACCAGTTAAGCGGGAGACGACCTTGATGACGCCGTGGCACCCGTGGTATCCTTCGCCAATGGCAATGCGCTTGGGATTCAGCCGAATAAGCATGGCATGGAATGCAGCCAGGCCGGAAGCATAGGTGAGCGACGGGCCGCCAAGAATGCTTGATAGAACAGCCTCGAGACGAGTCGTGTTGGGGTTGGAATCCCGCGAGTAAATATGCGAGTCCATTGGAGCGTTGGGCTGGTAAACTATTGTCAATATTCGAGTACACCTTCCTGCCACACCGTGTCTAACGAGATTTTTGGCCGGCTGAGGAGATAGACATGATGTGTCCAGGGACAGGTCATTATGGACTCACATCGGGATTATTCCAATCCCCCAGCTTGGTGGGATCCGCGCTATGCTTCAGCTGCTCCGGATCATCACTGTATCGAAACGTCGTGCTGACATGCATAGCAGGCGCTACGGCCCTATGTGCCGAAATAGCATCATCTGCATGGACAGTCTTGGACGATAGTGAAAGACGGGCCATCTCCTCGGCAGGAACTCCGCTTGGTACTGATGCCATGTTGGGCAGCTACAAGTGCGCCGATGATCGGATGAGGCGCTCGGTCCTGAGACGCTTGCCAGAGAGCTTTGGTATTTGCAACCTGACAATGAGAAGGAAGCGTGGAGGGAAAAGGTGTGACTCCTGGATCAGATGCGGACTCTGGCATATATGTGAGAAGGCATAGGGCGTGGACCAGACTGCTATCAGGAAGCTAGTCACACTGGTTGATCACGGCATGGCAATTGTTGTTACAGAAGGCGTCAATGGCCAGAAATGGTGGAGCATTGACCCAGCATTGGCGGGGCCAAAGGCCGAAGGTGTATCGAGTCGACGTGTATCGGAGGGCGCCAACGACAAATAGCCTTTTATCGTGAGTCGACTTGGCGCGGCCTTGGCCAGAAAAGCCGTTGCAAGGTCGCAACGAAGATGGTGGACTTTTCAGCGGAGGCTTAATAAGTGAATAAATCTTCATTGATATTATCGTCAAGTCATTGCATTATGGCAAACGCCAGTTCCCGCCCATGCCGATTTCACAATTCTCCCACGAATTGCTACACTATTATATCCCAGGCGAAGGCCCCAAATGCGCGCCATCCCATGTGTAATTCTATCAATGCAACCAGAGCGCCATACTCCCGTTTCCCAGACCCAGACTAGTTTCGTGTCTCGTCAGATAGCTTGGGAAAGTCCATGGTCCCAAGTTCCGAGCCTTGGCCACTTTGGCCGCGCTTGCGCCCGGGCATCAGGAACCGGGCCACAGTCGGTTGACCGGTTGAATCTTGCGACTCGGTCAGCTTGGAGAAGAAGCCGCGCTTCCGGGGCTGCTGCTTGTAGTCGTCTAAGCCGACATCCTCGAATCCTTCCTCGGCGGTGGGAGGCTCGCGCTCAAACTGGCGGTCAATGGCTGATCTGGGGAGGCGACGGAACCGAGCAGAGTCTAGGCTCTGTCGTCCGAGACCGTCGTTGGAAATTACGGGTGACCGAGCCGTGATATCCTAAACAGTCGTGTAAGCAGCGCTGCTGAGTGTCGAGGAATGTCTGGGTCTGAGAGAAAAAGGACAGACTAACGAATGATCTGCGGTAGGAATCAAATGATTCGCGGGAGATGGGAAAGTGCTCAATGTCGCCGAGGCTGCTCCCCGTTTCCGTTGAGGCCCTCGAAGACAGGTACTTGCGAGGCCATTGCCCCTTGTCCTCTGTTGGTGAGGGCTGTTTTTGTTGCGGACAAGACGGATTAGTTTGGTGGCGCAACGAAGCAAGGAGCCTGGCGGTTGGAACACATACAGGAAGGTATACGCCACTGTCATTCACAACTAACGATTCCAAACAGCCAAAATGTTAGATTCGATAACTGCAAATGGTCTTGTGACAAAGGGAGCCAAGGCCACGGCCAGGGTCTGCGCCAGCACGAGAGCCGTGCAAGCGCGGTCTGGTGGTCTGACGGTCTGGTGGCATCATGTCGCAGGCGGGTGTGGCGGGTAGGGGATCGGGTCACGCACCACTCATCTTGTACTCGCCAGTATCGTGGCTCCTGGTGCTTCGAATGCTGAGGGCCGACGAGGCTTTGGATCCGACCGTGTCAACACGCTCGAAGCCCAGGTACGGATCTTGTCGCTCGGGGTGCAGGTTCTCGTCGTGTGCGGCGGCAGTGCCGGTGCGGCGAGCAAAGGGGTTGCGAATGGGCATCTTGGAGACAGACGGGCGACGGCGACTACGGCCGAGCAGCGACGACGACGGGTGGCCGAGGTTCAATGTTGCGAGGAGGAAATTGCGTACAGCCAGGCTCTGTCGACGATGGGAAGAAGAGCCGCAGGTGGCGGAGTATACCAGACAGGTTTAGAATAAATGCCGACAAGGAAAATGCTATGGACAAGGAGGAACGCGGCCAATGGCGTACAACTGTGTAGTGAAGTATTTATTTAATACGACGAACTGGACCGTGGCACGGCGTCGGCAAGGCGATGAAGGGGCCTTTTATTGACTTTACATGTACGGAGTAGGTCAAGTAGCATGGCACCGTCTGGTCCCAGATGGGCATTGACTTTCTGCTGTGCACATAAAGTTTGGAGGGCACACGTGCAACACTCAGGGCTTGCGCCAGGGGCCAAGACGATTTTCCAGCGAGCCCGGCGCCTGCATGCAATTAATTTAGAGGCTTTGGCTCAAGTGCGCTAAAGTCGACACTCGGCACTCCACTGGTAACTCGTTGCGGTGGGGCTCATCAATTGTTTCACCGGGTCGGACTTGCCATGGCCGAGGCGCCACATCTGAATGCCGCCGGTCGACAAAGTCGGCGCGACTGGATGCGACTTGACGATCCGCCGCGGCGATGCCCACCCCACCACCGTCCATGTCCCTCACTGACTGCACCATGAGTGCAATTGTGGAGGCCAAGGCGGCCCAGGAAAGCATTGACGTAATACGCTGGACCTCGGGCCGTCCTCATCACCATGTATTTAGCTTTGCCCATTCCAGCTTTTCAGGCGCCTAACTGATTGCATCGTTGCTCTACCGGGGACAAGAGGGAAACAATACGCCGTCCATCCCGTCAGATGAACCGGGCGCAACCATGGGGAAATCCGGGGCAGCACAACCTCTCCAAGCCCGATCCCTGCCAGAAAAGGATGAACTAGTACTACCCGTTTCGTTCGCATGATGTCAATGACCAGTCCACCATCCGGCTCGATCCGGCTGTTTCGATGCTGCCTCCTCGTCGAGATGGGATTACACCGTCGGCTTCCTTTTTGGCCATTAGCATCGTCAACCACGCCTGCCAAGCTTCAATGTCGGTGCGCTGCGGAGTAACATGCCTGGTTGGTTGGTACAGGAGGCAAGAAGCCAACGAGGAAAACTTGTGTGGCGCAATGGACACTGTACCGCACTGTGAAAATAACCAGGGTTCTACACATCCGGTACAGTGCACCATCAGAATGCACGCACTAATTCCTAAAACGCCGCCCTGACTACCTACTTAAGTTATCAATTGATTAAAATATGCATTGTTGTCAGCAAAACTAGTCACTCAATCCCCAGCCTCATGAATCGAAAACACATTGGAGGCAATTACAAGAGTGAGGCACTTGTTTCCCCTCAATACAGAGTTGCTTTGTCCTCACCACCAACGCAAGCAAATTAAACTTGACGACTTTGCTTACTTTTGCCAGCATAATGGGTTCTCACAACTAATGAAATCTAATATGTACTCCGTACCAGCCAGAAATAGAGAAGCAATTTGGACTCTGCAAATCTCACAGTGTCGGGTGGCAAGTACTGACAACACTGTTCGTTAACATCGTGAGAGCCAACCGGTTGGTTGGGCACAACAAAATGCTTCAAGCACGGATATCCATCTCATCTCGCAAACAATGCCCCCTCTGTCTCACTGTCTAAGTAACGAACCTACAGTGAGATTGTCCGAGCTTCGAAATCCGTATGCGAGGAGTGCGAGAGCTGATGGGATCTCGGCATTTTCCCGATTCGTACTAGCTGGCCAAACTGTCACGATAATGACCCAACAACTGGTTGGTCGAGTCCAGAAAGTAGCCCCCTTTGAGTGGGAATCCAGGCACAGGATGATTCCTTTCGAAGATGTGGTGAATTTCTTCCAGAAACTCCTTTATCTTTCCGTATTGAAACCGGGTGGTGACTCGCTGGCTATGATTTGGTCATGGTCACTACGAAGCATTGTGATCTGCTGGGAGCAATCTCAGCCCTATGTCTCTCCCAGTAGTAGATGACGGGACAGCAGATAGGTTGACCAGGGGGAGCTAGTCTAATCCGTTTAGCTTCTTGGCTCGGCAAAATAATCCCCTTTGGGCAAATGCCAGGGGAGCTGTCCCGTTTAATGGTATTTTTAATTTCCAGACTTTGCCGGGTTGCTCTTCGTCTTTGAGTCACCGCCGGGAGGTCTCGTCAAAAAGGAGATATATATCTTGTCTATCCGCCTCCTTCTTTGCCCAAGCCAAGTTCTTGGGTCTGTACTACATTCTGTCGAGGCCTAACGAGCGGGACGCCTCCTTTCTTCTTACGCCCATCTCGTTTCGTTGCAATCAAAATGGTCAAAGCAGCGCTCTCCGTCCTTCTACCCCTTCTCCTAGCAGCAGGCGCGGCTGCATTTGGCTGCAATTCCATCAGCTATACAACTTGCCAAGACCGCATCGTTCACTGGTACGACCCGGATGATGGCCAGATCTGTGATCCCCACGACTGCGGTGGCGGCAGAGCTCCTCCGAGAAAGGATGTTCCTGGATGTGCATTCTATACGGGGACTGAGACGTTGAAAACCGAGCCATCGTATCTTCCATGCTGGAAGCCTTCAACTGCCATGGCCGCCCCTACAGGAAGCAGTGTCAAGTCCTCGGTAGAGTCGACACCCACAAACACGGGCGTGGTTGCAAGTTCGAAAGAGACAACCACAGGCTCTTCTGTTCCCGCGTCGACCACTGCTTCTGTAGCTCCTTCAACAACAGCATCTTCTGCAACTGGGTCCGTCCCCGGTGCCGCTGCTTCTCCGTCGACGACTCTGCCGGCTACCATCTCGACAACGACTCAGAGTGAAACGGCCACATTTGGGAACAACACAGGAAACACATCTACCATCTCTACCACCTCTGCACACACTGGCGATGCTGGAAGACTGGTTGGTGCATCCAAGATGGCCCTTGTTGCTGGTATCGTTGGTGGTTTTGCTTTGCTGTGACGGACATGAGTTCAACAGGATATCGTGGCAAGATGGCGTCTAGTGTAACAAGACATGACATAATAAAATTGCACGGATACCTGCATGCATGGAGTAGTAATACATTCTGTCAGCCCGTCAACGTAATCTGTGGCACCTGACCAGTCGCACAGTGATGAAGCAGTCGACCAATGTTGCATGTCCATGGTTGCACAATACCTCATTCCCTGCTGATATTGTCCATTCCGGAACATTCTACTCGCCAGCATGTCTCGGACCAAAATGCACAGAGTACGGAGTACGCCTCTTGTTCACGCCCAACCTCTGGCCTACCAAATGCATGTGCGGGAATTTCGTTTCTCTTGCCTTTTTTTTTTTTTTTTTTTTTTTGCGCGGCCCATCAACACCACTCGACTCGTTACTTGCAATAATTTTGCCAGATTGAAAGCAGGTGGTGTCCAAAGTGCTATCAGACGGTTTTCTTTTAATCTGACTTGCAGTGAGACGAAAGTGCAAAATTAGCACAATCAGGATTCACAACGTGTTTGGTTCAAGTTTCGTCAGATACACGGGCTGCTCGCTGGCTCTTGCTGATTCTGACTCTCTTTCACTCGGAACTGCGCCTGGACCCTGCCCTCAGTGCCTTTTCTTTATTTTTTTCCACGGCTATTCGATTCCATCCGCTAAAACATGGTCGCATAAATAATGTCTGCCTCCCAGGACTTTTGCCGAATGTGGTCTCTAATTCTTGTTGTCGCCTGCACCTGAACCAAAGCCGACGGGGGAGGGAGGCTCAAGCATGACTTCCTTCTTTATACAATGGCAGCTATGGCAACAGATGACATTTGTAAGTCTTGTCGGCACACGCTGCACTGCCTTGCAGGAGCATTGAGTCCTGAACTGACTTGGTTATGTACTGCAGGTCCTTGCATGTTGCATAGCCATCGTCTTTCTTATCGGTCTCGTAAAGCTGTGGCAAAATAATCGAGAGCTTCGAAAGTACGAAGTTATCGACGAGGAACGGCGGTCTCGAATTACAGAGATGAAGCACTGTGGGATCCGCCACATGAGCTACTCGAATGTTCCGTTTGGCGTGCGAGCCATCGAACGCGGAGTCGAAGTTGAAGGGATATGGATAGCCGGTTCCAGACCAGCAGAGGCTAGCCAGACTGCTTCCTCTGCTCCTTCAGCCATCGAAGGCTCGAACCAGGCTGTCCCGGGCGGAGAAAAGGTATACTACTGCTTGGAAGATGCTCAGGAAAACGTTGGCGAATCGTCGAATGCAGCATTTACCCGCTCCAGTGCGCTATCAGCACCCGATGCGCACGATGTGGCCGAGTATTCCGACTACGCAGTGGAACACAACGACGAGAATCGTGTGCCTGCAACAGCAGACGGCACTGTATATAAACCATCTGGGTCAGGCAGGGTTTCGTTGCAAGGCTCAGAGAGAAGCTTCACGCTCTCCCCTCAACAGATGGCCAGGCACAGGCCGAGGTCGAGGGCAGTATCGCTGGACTCGAGTGTCGTCAACAACCTGCAGAACACGAGGCAGGTTTACGGCTCTGCCCAGGTATTCGTGAACAGGACGCATCGCAGGCTGAACTCTGGGTTTGAGGTCCTTCCGGCGGGTACATTGGGTGCTCGATCCGAATTTCCAGCTGCAAGGCCTCGTTCAAGACGAGAGCGTCACAGCATAGAACCACAGACAAGGCCAACGTCTGCAAAATTACAGAAGCAAAGACGGTAACCCTGCCTGCTATGGTGTATATGATGAGTTAGATTTTTTCATCTTTTTGGGAGGGCTTTTGTGACATCCGATCTCGGCTAGGGTAAATATCATTGCATGTAAAGTTGGTGCACGGAATATACATTCTTATTAATGACATAATTACCAAAGTGGATACGCATGACGGTTAATTGGAGTTGAACTTGACATGTTCCATCGCATTTGACTGGCCAAGCGGTCGATGCTCCGGTTACCACACAATAGTATTGCCGACTTCCTGAAACTGGAATCTCGTAGTTCGATCGGGTTCTCGGTGATAACGGTAACAGCCTAGTGCCAAAAACTATCTTGGAAACGGCCGTGATCCAATTGGCCAAAGCAACGGCGTACCCGAATAGAACAGCATTACTCCATCTGGATTCTGGAGAATATATAAGTGACACACGCCTGCAATACCTACAATACTAATAAAGTTGTCAGCTCAAACGGAGCCATCTCACAATGCCGCCCCAGAAAGTCGCCCACGCCGCCGTAACTGGCTTCGACAACGCCTCAGCATATGACGTCCATCGCCCCTCGTACCCAGCTGATGCAGTCGAGGCTCTGCTGCGCAACCTCGACGTTGCCAACAGGCCTCGTGCGAAGATAGTCGATCTCGCAGCCGGCACGGGCAAGTTCACAGAGCTACTGGCTGCTCGAGAGGAGCAGTATGACATTGTGGCAGTGGAGCCGGTAGCAAAGATGCGCCAGAGTCTCGTAGGCAAGCATTTGGAGCATGTCGAGGTAATAGATGGACTAGCCACGAGCATAAATCTAGGCGATGGGTGGGCGGATGCCGTCATTGCAGCCCAGGTATGTTTATGCAATCCAGTCCGCATATCCCTGACACCGGATGCTAATGAGGGTTCTCCCAGTCGTTCCACTGGTGAGCTTTGATCCCGCTGGACACAGCCATCAAGGCCTGCACTAATAGCAGCGCAGGTTTGCAAACGAGGAAGCACTGAAGGAGATTCGTCGGGTGCTCAAGCCGGGAGGCAGGTTGGGCATCATTTGGAACATTGAGGATTGTACGTGACTCCCCCAACAGCGGTTGCTTGACTACAGTGCCAACAGGCGTCAGATAACCAACCGGCGGATTGGACGGCATCGACTGCCTGGGAAAAGGAATTGAAGCAGCTCATCCTTGCCCTCCCGCCGGACGGCACAAATCGATTCCGAGACGACAAATGGCGGGACGTGTTTGAGCGGCAAGCTCGTGACCCAGCGCCGTTGTTTGCCGTGCCTATTGGTCAAGAAAAGATTCCGTTTACGGTCTGGCTGGCCAAGGAGTTGCTGTGGGATCGAATCCAGACGTTGAGTCAGGTTGCGGTGCTTCGAGATGCGGATAAGGACGCGTTTAGGGCCAAGTTTGATGGGATTATGAGCGAGGGGGACCAGGTCTGGAATGAGAAGGAGGAGGTTGAATTCCATGGGTTCACGGTGTATGCGTGGACAAGGAGGATTTAGGGATGAGAAGCAGCATATTGATGGTGGTGGGAAGAGGGACTTCTAGATAGTAGCGAGAACAGGCAGTGGTGGTATCAAGACGATTTATTCATGTCCTTGGCGTGCTTTATGAGTCTGCCGAGATGTACATTACTACATGCGAGTTAGTCGCTCCATCGTCAAGGTGAAAAAAAAAGAGAGAGAGACGGAAAGCTATAAGATGCACCCACCATTGTTTCCTCGCACGAATGCATCTCCGTAATCCCTACGCTTCTTGCCGTTGATATACTCCTCCGTCTTCTCTAGCGCAATGTTCATGTAGCCGTCCACTGATTGCAATTCACCTATATCCACGCATCCAGTTAGTCATGTGCGCCATTCATATTTTGATGCTGCACAGGCGGCGTTCATGTGCATCGTGGACAGGACGTTGCGGCAGCGTCTGAGGGAGCGCCTCACCCTTGTAGACGACGCCAGAGTTGAGTTTAACAATGACAGGATTGCCGATGATGTCGCTCAGGAAGCTAGACGGGTCCTTGCCCTCGCCCTGTGAAATGCTGCCGTTCTCTGCCGAAGACATGGTGTGAAGAATGGCAATGACAGGGTGCTTCAAAGGTGATGAATGAGGTTGATGGAATTTGGCGCGAGACTTTGCAGGTACGTAGCTTCTGGTAACAAAGTGGGGCGGATTGTACGACATTGAAATGCTCGCACTGTGGCGGCGGCTTACTCCAATGAACTTCTTCACTGGCTCTGACGACTGAACAATATTTGAACCCGCTCGGGACAACCGCCCGCCAGCTGCAACAATCAAGGCGGCCACTTGCCATTGACGCCGACAAACAAGATTGAAACCAGACAATGAACCGCCCCGCCATCAGACGTTGCCATACTTCACATTCACGCACAATCCCGCCGAGCTATTTAATACGCGGCATCGCCTGAGCCCTGCGACACGTTGGTTATGCGTAGCACAGAGGCGCGCATGGGCTCCAAGCCTTTCCACCGACGTGTTTTCGAATCTGCCCCCGCGTTTCCCCTAACACCACCATGATGGGCGAAGAGCCCAGCCCTTCTCGACCCAAGGCGAAGAAGCTTCCCTTCAAGCCGACAGCTTTGCGCAAGTCTGCGTCGCAAAGGCTGGCGACGCCGTCTGATGACACCAACGCTGATGATGATGGCCTTGACCTGTTCCGCAGGTCCAAGGAGATGGAGCCAATCGTGGCTGCCGACCGCGAGAGGAGGATGAAGAAAAAGAGGAAGCAGAAGCAGGAAGAAGAAGCGCGGCGAAAATCGGTCGAATCCGCCAAGAGGCCGCTGGATGATGATGAGGAAATAGATGTCCAGGCAGCTACGGGGTCACACGAGTCTCCTCGGGTAGCTATGAGAAGTACACCTGTTGGTTGTTCTCCCCAAGATGGGGACGTCATGGCTAGGTTCGTACATACGTGTGCTTAGAATTTTGCTTTGCTTTGTTTTGTTTATGTAGCTAACTTGGGTTTTACCAAACAATTCAGCAAGTTGGTTACGCCGCCGGCCTCAAAACGAACGCGCCTAGACTCAACCCCGTCAAAGAGTACGAATCTCGACATGGAAAACACAGACATGTCGCTGGGCGATTCGCCCTCTGCTCGACTACTGCGGTCTCACACCAAACCCACGACGTCGGGCAGCCTGCACCGGGTAACTAGGACGCCAAAGGCTGCACCAATCGTGCTTGTCGATTCAGATGATGATGATGATGATGGCAGTGATGTTCAGGTAGCACGCAGCACTAAACAACGAGAAGCTAGCGTAGAAGTCTACGAGCCCAGCTTCATGGCCACCGAGGAGGAGGACGAATTTTCCGAGTACGTTCGCAGGGCAGAGGAGCAGCGTGCTCAAAACCAGGCCATGCTCAGGGTCGGCGAAGATGGCGAAGCGACAAAGGATCGCATTGAAATTCTCGTCACATCGGAGGTCCCAGGCACCAAGCCCTGCTGCTTCAAGTTTCTGTTCGACAAGCAACTACGCCTCGCTCGCGACACGTGGCTTACGCTCCAGCATCACAAAGGAATCCTGAAAGACGTCCAAAAGGAAGAAGATATTGTGCTTACATGGCAGAAGCAAAAGGTGTACATATTTTCTACGCTGTTGACCCTTGGTATTCGGCCTGAAGGGAACGGGCGGGCCGTCGTGGACGGCAATAGCTCAAAGGGGCTGGTCAACGGTCGGACGCAAGTCCACATGGAGGCATGGACGGTGGATTTATTCCACGAAATGGAACGCAACGAGGAGCTAAGAAGGAAGCGAGAAGCAGGTGAATTGTCGGACGAGGACGAGCCGGCGGCAGCAGAAGAGCCGCCTGCTCCGGAGGTCAAGATTCGCGTCATTCTCAAGTCGCGGGACTTGGAAGACGTCAATCTAACTGTGCGGCCAGAAACGACAGTCGAGACGTTGATCACTGGGTTCCGCACACAGCGATCAATAGGCTCTGATAAAGACGTAGGCCTGTGGTTCGACGGCGACAGGCTGGAGGAGCATGTCACCATGGACGAGGCAGATATTCATGACATGGACACGATTGATGTACACGTCAGGTGAAGGGCATTGTGTCTTGGAAGCACGAATAATGGATATACATAGACGGTCATTTTGACTAACGGCTATTTTTCTTCGAAGAACAAAAAAAAAGAACAACAATACCCCAAATGAAGTGCACTTTTGTTCCATGCTCAGAAGTCCGTGGCCGCGAGGATCCTTGAGAGATGATTCATTCTGCCTGCTCAGCGCCAGTCTGTACAGCTACCGTTGGTGACGCATTTTGTCTCAAGAAGCATATGCCGCCTTTTATTTAGAACACGCGAGAGTTTGAAGCGGCGCCAACACAAGCTCATTACCTTCCTCAACCTGTCTTAACACTGTGTGCCCTGAATGTACGCTCGTCCAGGACGCATTGTATTTTGTAGTGCACGTCGCACCCTGGTACGTATCCAATCCCTAATCATTGTTCCTGGCAACTATACCTACCTAGGTAGGTAGTATAGACAAACCATTGCCACGAGCCAAATCTCCGGAATCCCCGAGAGCCGCTCGTTTATGAAGTCGAGCGTCCGAAAGGACGAAGCAAGTCTGCGGCGAAACTTCGAGGCCCCAGATACGCTTCACAGGACAGAGAGTCGTCAAGCCACAAGATGGAGCTTTAAATGATATTCCCTCCTCTTCTCGCTCGCCGCCACGGCGACAGACGAATTGCAAGACAAACAGCGTAGCAGGCAGTAAGCATCTTCTCGCCTGGGCCATGTGAAACTTCAAAATCCCGCTCGACTGGAAGATCTACCCTTAATACAAGCGGCGCTACGGCGCGCAGGCGAACAAAGGCGCCAAGCCAATGCCGTAGTGGACGAAGCAAAAGGGATAAACGACACCTCGACTTTGCATTGACTTTCTTGGATGTGGTTGACGTGTCGTAACACCGCCTGCACGATACCCTGCTCTCCTTCGGCGCCAATTCTTGTCAGACCCGAACTTTGCGGCAACTCGTGTCCCTGCATAGTGTGACCTTGACTGCATAGCCCGACGGGGTGCCACGACCAGGACCAGGACCAGGACCAGGACCAGGAACAGGTCGAGAAGAGGTGCTTCAACCGTTACTTAGGACATCTACAGAGACGACTAGATACACTCAGGAGGAGGGAATCACCCAACTTCAGCCGCAGGGAGCATCTCATACTTTGATGGACGGTGAGTGAAACACATGGACGTACGGGGAGTCTCCCCGGGCAAAATCAGAGTAGACAAAGTGTCAAATCACGGCAAGAGCGCACGTCGCAGCATTAAAAGACCCTTGATGCAAGTCTATGTATCGTGCGTATCAAGTAAACCACCCGCACAGTGAACAGGCCATCAATAGAACCTCCTCATGTACAACCATCGACCACGGTTACTTTATCATCTATGCAGCGCGGCCCGAACATTCCAATCAACGCCCAAAACACCGGAGGAGCCTCCCGCTCTCTATGAGATATTGACTCCGAATTCAATAGTATATATATCCACAACAACTCCAGTTTTAAAAACTATACTCTGGTGAACCCCTTTCCTTTCCCCTTCCATGGTGTTAAGAGACATCAATCAGGTTGCGCATGTTATTAGGAATGGATTTCGGCGAAATAGTCTCGCCAAGTTGGTGCTCCAGCATCGTCGGCGTCGTAGGAGACGCAGTAGGGTTGTGGTCGCCCGCCGCAGGAACTCTCTCCGGGGTTTTGCCATCATGGCCAGGAGACGGCAGCGAAAGCACCAAGTTCGGCTCTACTTTGCAAGGCTTGCAATCTGGCAGCGGCGAACGAGCTCCCAGCTTCTTGGCCGAGGCGGCATCTGATACATTTTTGGAGGCTTTGAAAGCCTGCAAAATGGGATTTGTGGGAGGTGGTTGCGCGGCCTTGGTAGGTTGCTTTGGATTTCTGCTGCGAGGTTTGGCACTCTTGCCTGCCTTGGTGAGTGCGACAGGCTTCGGATTGCCAAAGGGGAGCTTGGTCTGTTTTGCTTCTGGCAAGGGTTTTCTCCCCGAGGACTGCAGCAGCGGCGGCGGCGGCGGTGGGCTTGCACGTGGAGTTGGGATCGCCTGGAGGTCCTCGGCGGATGTTGGTTTGCCGTCCAGTCGGACTTCGAATTTGGCTGGTGGCGATGAGAGCCTTTCCCGCTCCTGTTCTTTGGATACCAAGTAGTCGTCTCCAATCTCGCAATCCCACGGCGGCAGAGACGCCAATCTGGCAATATTGTCGCAGGTTGACTTGACGACGAGATCCCAGCAGTCCTTGAAATCGGGAATCTTTGGCTCCGGGTCGATGTTGAGCCAGGCGGTGAGACCATCTTTGCGGCCTCGCGCAACCTGGCATAATTGCTTCACAAGTCGTCGCGTCCCCGGTACTTTGAGTGTCGTGCCTACCACCAGGACTGCGTCCGGCCGGGCCCTCAGGTCGGCTCGCATGACGTTGCCAATGGCGTCCTCGTCGGGGTTGAACTCATTGTACAGCACAAATCGCGGTCTCAGGCGTCCAATTCCATGGCTCCGCTTGCCCGCATGAGCCGTGCGCACTTCATCGAGGTTTTTGCAGGATTCGCAAAGCGGTGCCTCGGGCCCGTCGAAAATATCGCCCTGGAACGGCTGAATATCGGCGCACTTGGTGCACACCATCTTGTCCAGACTTCCGTGCAGCTGAATGGTAGTCGGCCAAGGGGCTTTTGGCTCGAGCGGAATCTGGGTATGCAGAGGCTTCATTGACGTGTCGATGCAGTCAATATTTTGTGAATAGAGGCGTAGCAAACGTCCTTCTTGAGCGAGGGAGGCCAGCAGGTGGTGGAAGGGCGTGGGGTGAGCATTCTTGCTCATCTCGCTCATTTCTCGGACCATGGTGTGAAAGGACGAGGTGGACGACTCGTGTTTGTAGACGGACGCGTCAAACAGGTGCTTGCCCGAGGCCTTGAGCTTGTGCTGGTTGCGTTGGGCGGCAAAGAGTCCGGTGGAGGAGCGGAAGTCGGGAATGCCAGCCGAGACGGAAATGCCAGCTCCGGCCACAACGACAATCTTTTTCTTCTTGCGCAGGGCACTGAGCAGCCTCTCCATGTGGAAATTGTCCTCGTGGCTGAAGTCGTCGTGTGACTTCATCAAGTCGAGGTAGGCGGTGATGCGCTCGCGGGGCGGCGTGATGCGTCTCTTCTTGGCAGGGCGCGGGCTGTCGTCGACGGGGTCGCCCAACTTGATGGGTGATTGCGTTCCCGACGTCGATGTCGAGGTTGGCGAGGGATATCGGACGCCGGCGTCTGGTTGCACATCGGGCGAGCTGGGCAGAGACGGGGTTTTGGAGAGACTTGACAGCGGGGACGCCGTCACATTAGACAGCGGACTCGAGGTAATTTCTTCCATGGCTGGCTGGCAGTCCAAGGCGAATTGCAAATTGGCGACGCGGTGCTCCGGGCGGTTGGAGGTGACGAGGGAGCCGAGGAGCCGAGGAGCAGAAGAGCAGAAGAGCAGGCGAGGCAAAGAGGAGGCAAAGAGGAAACGAAAAATCCCGACACAACACAGAGATCCGAGGCTAAATCATTGCGCGAGCGACCGAGTTTGAGGATTCTTGTTGTTGGTGAGTTGTCTTGATGCCGAAGGGCAGAGCCAGTCCCAAACGGCCAGGCTTTTTATTCAGCGGGCGTATGCAGATGACAGTGCCCCAATTTCCTAATGGGCGTCCCGTTGAGTGAACACGGAGTTGCCAGCTGGTGAACAGGACGCAGGCAGTCTGGTGTTTTGAGAAAAGTCGAAGAACAGTCGACGAGCGCCAAATCGACACGACAAGCGGAGTCGGTCGGAAACGGGAGAAGCGGGCGTCTGTCTGTCTTGTGGGCGTGAGCGTGGGCGTGGGCGCAGGTGGACGGCGCATGTACTCCGTAATGGCTGGGGGGATGATGAGACGGGTGATTGGGGGAGGCAGTGACTTGCAGAGCCCAAGAATGCAAAAGCCAAAGGGAGGCTAAGAGCACAAGAAGGCGTCAGTCATGACTGATCAGTGGGTTTATTTTTTATTTGGCGTTAATGCGGCTGGGATGCCCACCACATTCAACGTTTAATGTTGCTCCATGGCCATACATACATAAAGGACCTAGGTAATTAATTACTCACGACCTGACTGCGCCGGCAAGTGGCCGAAGAAAAAAGAGGAAGAAAAATAAAGGGAAAAAGATGGCATAACGACTCTGCCTCCGTTTTACCACCAGCATGCCGCCAGGCGGTCGAGCCAAGGTGCACCGCCATCACCATCCCGGAGGGGCCATGGCCAGAGTGTCCGCCTCGTACGTACGCAAAACTGCCATGCGGATTGCCGAACTCCACACCCCAAAGGCAACTTGGAACATGCTTTGTCAATTTATGCACTCGGTCGAGTGTCCATGTCCGTCTCTACACATCACTAGTAGTATGCACAAAGAGCGTGGTCCCATGCACCGCCGTTTCCCAGGAGACGCACCAGGCAGGCCCCTTGGCCCCTCCGTGCATTTCAGCCCCACCAACTTCCAGAAGCCGCAGCCAAGTCTCTGCTGATTCGTCAGCTCCACATTCTGCCACTAGGCCGAAATGTTTGGAAATGCCTCTCTGTTCCTGCACCGGCATGCGGACCGCGTAACAACTACATGGCACTCCAGGTCCCGGTGCACGAGCAGAGTTGTTTAAAAGGCCCTCGTCCCCCAGTATTATACAAAGCTGCAAGAGCTTCAATTCTTACCCTGTCTAAGCGTTTCAGGACAGACTCGAATTTTCACCATGTAGCTTGTACTTGGCCACCAACGCAGCCGACCAAATCATCATATTGTTGACCCAGATTGTGCCTCCTTCTAGCAATCCAACATCATGTGCGGACTATCTAGACACGATTATACATGCAGACAGCCACACAGCTATTTTCAGCAATTCAACCCTGTCCCAAATCCAAATCGACTCGACAACTACTAGTCCTAGTCCCTGCATCAAACGTAGCCACATGCGCAATAGTAGTTACCAGTTTACATTATATATATACACATAATACACATATATGTACATCACAGGGAGATGAGCAAGTCTATGCCAACGCCAAGTCTATCAATACACACATTCATCAAAATCACCTCCCACTCCCGCCAACCGTCTTCATCTCGCCGCCGCCGCCGCCGCCTCCCCTGCCATCAGCACCCCAGACGGTAATAACCTCCCTTTCCGCATGGGCCCCCCTCCTGCTCCTGCTCCTGCTCCTCGCCGTCCGACTCAGCATCTCAATGCCCAGAATGCCCGCCGCCATCCCCGAAAGGTGCGACGCAATGTCCACCTTGAGCGTCCTCGTCCTCCCAAACGCCGCCATCTGCAGCGCCGCCATCAGGGCCAGGAACACGATGCCGTGGACCCCGTCCCGCGGCAGCCCAAACACCTTGAAGCCGTCGTTCCTGTGCTCCCAAAAGTACGCCGAGCACAGGCCCAGCGTCGCGCCCGACGCCCCCAGCGACGTCACCGTCAACCACCCCCTCAGCGTGTACGTGACCAGGCTGCCGAGGAAGCCCGCCGCTCCGCAGCCCAGGTACAGCGCGAGGAAGTCGGCGCGGCCGAGCTCCTCGTGCAGCGCCGTGCCGACGAACCACAGCGGCACCATGTTGACCAGCATGTGGCTCAGCCTGGTGTGGGAGAAGACGGCGGTGAACAGGGTCGGCGGCCTGACCGTGGCCACGACAAAGATCATGTACTTGTTGAACAGGGGCCACAGCGGCGGCACGCGCCAGCCCAGGAAGACGAGGGCGTTGAGGGCGATCAAGGTGCCGACGGTGGCGTGGGCCGTGGAAACGTCGCGCAGGAGCCGGTATCGCGGCACGGGTTCCTCGTACACCATGGCCACGGCCGCCATGAAGCCCAGCACCAGCGCGACGAGCGTCGCCGACGGCAGCACGCGCTCCCACGTCTTCATCTCCGGCGGCGCCTCCAGGTCCGACTGCGCCTTTTCGTAGTACTCTGCCACCTTGGGGTTGGTGATGGCCCGGCTGCCGTCTTCCCGCCTGGCCAGGGGGCCCGACAACCCGACCTGCTCCTCTGCCTCCTTGGCCAGGCGCTCCTCCTCGGCAATCTTGTCCTCGGCCTTTTGTTTGGCAATGTTGCGCGCCCGTATCCGGTCAAAGGCGCCGCGGCCGTACAACGGGTCCGCCTCGGGGCTTGCGTCCTTGCCCTCGCCGTCGGTTCCGTCCCCAGACGCCGCCGGCGTCCTCTCTTGTTCCTCTCGCTCCTCCACGTCCCGGTCCATCTGGTTCAGCTCGTCCTCCGCCCTTAGCCCGGCATTCATAACCTCGTTCACCGGGACTTGCTGCCGCAAATACGCCAGCCCCCTGGCAATCAGCGCCGCCGGGAACTGCGCCGTGTGAACGGCAAACGCCGGGTCGTCCAAGGTGCCCGCCACCCGTCGCCCGTGCAAGATGCGCAGCAGCCTGTTCCCCGCCGCCGCCGTAAACCCAGCCCCGAATATCCTGCCGACTTTCTCTTCGGAAAGGTCCCTAGCGCCGAACGGTAAGCCCGCCTGGTCGCGATAGTCGCGGGGCAGGTCCTCGTAGTTGCGGATGACCTTGGACGAGGAGAATAGCGAGCGCCGGCCGGGGAAACCGCCAAGCGGGCGCGCGTAGGCACACAGTCCAGGCGTCTGCCATGACCTTTGGCATGCGTGTGCAGTCGACCGCGGATACACGCCGCCCGACAGACATCGTACGCCGACCGAGCTGTCTGCTTTGGGCCGTGTCCTCGCCGCAGCCGCGACTCGTCGTCCCGCCGCCCTCAGGAACGCGCAGGGCGCCGGGTAAATAGTGAACACGTTCATCTGGTAGGAAACAACAAACAACAGGAAACACCTGCTGCACGCGTCGTGCCCTTCGAGCCGCCCGTCGCGAGGGTTGTTCAAGCATCCAGCCCTGGAAGTTGAAGTCAGGGAAAAAAAAGAGGAAACAAACCAAACGCCCTTCGCCAAAGCAGTTGACCTCCCAGTTCACCCCCCCAGGTCCCAGCGCCACAATTGCAGGCCACCCCCACCACGTTGGCACCAGCTGCCTGCATGCCGTCGTTTTTGCCCCTCCAGCACCATCACGTCGATAATAAAACCTGCCATACAAACCCTCACTCACCTCTTGCATCCAGAGTCCCTTCAGCGACCGCCCCTCTCGGTACATGTGAAAACAGCAGCACCGACGAGTCCATCGAGATCCGTTTCAGCCCGCCATGTCCGCCGACACCCGGCCCATATCGCCGGGCCGCTTCGCCACGGCCCTCAAGGACCTCTCCGTCCCCATGCTGCACCTCAAGGTGCTCGAGATCCGCAACTCCATCGCCCACCTGCAATACTCCAACGACCAGCTGAAGCCCTTCGCCGAGGGGTCGGCCACCGCGCTCGGCGACGAGCCCGCCCACGGCCCGGACCAGGACTGCGTCGACGCCATCCGGGAGAACGAGGCCGTGATTGACCGCATGGCCGAGCGGATAGCCCTCGTCCGCGCCGAGGTCGAGGAGCGAGGCGTGAGCTGGGCCGAGTTCCAGAGCAAGGAGGAGGCAGAGGCGGCCGCGGACAAGGCCAGGGCAGAAGAAGCGCAGGTCAATGGCCACGGCCAGCGGCGCGGGACGCACTCGGCGTGGACGGATGGCACTTTTCAGACTGGTACCATACGGGATGGGCAAATCCACATGGACACTCAGCCTCCTCCGACGGCAGGGAGCGGGAACAATTCAGGTGGGAGGTTGAACGATGAGGAGCTGAGGCAAGCAATCGAGGAGCGGTTGCGAACTTTGGGCAATGAGGGCGACGGCGACGGCGATGGCGACGACGGTGGCATGCACCTGTGAATGGGAGTGCATTCGTCTGTGTTCCGAGTTGCATCACCGGCGTTGTTTGGCAAAGGGAAATGGGTTTGCGCTTCTTTGTACGAATGGGAAATGTTGAGGCAATTGAAATGCAGCTTGATTTACGGGCGTAACGACATCTTCAAATGTCAAAATATCCAGTTTGTTTGTGAGGTGGTTAATGATATTTGTTTGTCAGTCATGGCACTGATCTGTGGCAGCCATCAAGATGACGGCTCATAACACAGGCTACTGTGCGCAGCACCATGGACCTCTGTAAGGATGTATCAATGCAGATACAAATATAGCTAGCCCCTTTTGTTGAAAAGAACATATATATACACAGGCTGAACGCGCGCCGATCACAAGAAAGTCCCCATGCTATACAAGGTAATAAAGGTAAAACTCCTCGCAATTCGCTCCTCTAATGCAATGAAGGCAACTCGAAATATGAAAATGCAATGAAACTCCGATATGGTGCAGAACGGGCGTCGGTTGACGCCGCAAAACTCGAATGTGTCAAAGAAAAGGTGTTGTTTAGTCCGTGTCATCTCCTACCGGAGAATCTACCCAGATGTTTGTTTTAGTTCTGGTGGACTTTGACCGCTTAGACCTTTTTGATAGCGTTCGAGGGTTGCCACTCCCGTCTGTGCTGGGTATCGTTTCCAGCTTCGGTCTCTGAGCAACATGCCCCAGCGTGCTGCTGGTGTGGCTGACCGTTTTGGATATTTGTACTGACGGAACAGCATCCTCGTCAGCATCAGATTCGACCACAGGCATACGTCGACGACTGCGGCGCCGCTCAAAGGGGTTGTCAATGGAATCGTCGGAGTCGTTGAATGAGAGGCTGCGGCTCTGGGTATGGCCCACTGACAGGCTACTGCGGGTGATGAAGAGAGACTCAATAAGCTCGACTTCAGTCGGGTTGCTCTCCTTTCTGATTCTCTCCTTGGCCATCCTCTCATGCAACCTGCGGCCCAAGTTGCCTTCGTCTCCTACCAATGTCCTCGCACTTGACTTGCTTCCGGAACTGACAGCACGCGAGACGGGAACCTTGCCTTCCATAATCTTGGCTGGTGGGGGAGGTTGCAGCATCCATTTGCGGGCATCCTTGTGGGGAGGTTTGCTGCTGACCACGGGTGGATGATAATCATTAACAGGGGGGTTCTTGGGAGACAGATAAAAATCGCGGCGTTCCTGTTCCGTTACTTCCTTTTCAATTCCCAAGGTAGACTCGATTAATCTTCCGGCAGAGTCGCGAGCTTTCGAAAAGGCGTCCATCAACTTATGTCCTGATCCGGCCGGTCCTGGGCCAGACCACTGGCCCCAAAGTTCCTCGTCTTCGCGTTGATATCCTCGCCGCCGATTCCAATCCTCGGACAAGGTGTCATCCTGCGGCATCGCCGTCGTACTATCACCGAAATGCGTTCGACTATCACCAATATTTGTGTGATCAGACATGCTAGGTGCCACACTTTCCCTGCCCGAACTAGTTAACCCCCGTTGACTGGAATTCTTGCTTATGGATTTTTTTGGCAAGCTCGGACCCATGCTGATTTCCTCCTGCCAGTATGGGTTCGTGTTGAATGGTGAGGGATGCCGGTACAAGCCGGGCTGTTCCGTCTCCAACTTGGCCTTGTCTTCCCTCTCCTTCTTCGCCTGGGCCTTGGCCTTTTGTCGGTGACGGACTTTGGAGCATGGTGTGCAGGCGAGGAAATAGAAGACGGCCGACTGGACGGCGACGGGCAAAGACATGACGTCGATTGATCAGGGGATTCCCCTCATCAAGCCTGTTTTTCAGTTGATGCCTGGCGTTGAGTGTACATAAAGGCCGGGCGATCCGTATCGCCAAAGAGAAAAACAGAATTGTCGGATCGCGGTGACGGCGGTGAAATTACGGAATGTCCTATGATGTGAGGTAGTCGGGGGGGGGATAAAGATACACAACAAAGCGTTGTAGGCGGCCGGCTCGGTTACGGTGGCAGGGGGGTACGCGAAGAAATAAGAAGTTTCACAGAATCGAGGAGCAGTAGAATATAATTAGAGCAGGCGGTGGTTGTTGGCTTTCGGCTTGACTGGAATGGAAAATGCAAGCGGCTTAATGTCGAAGAGGGGGGCCAGGGGGTCCTGAAGTCGAGAATCGAGGTTCGACGTTAAAGGCGTCTTGGTGGGCAAAAGGGGTGAGAGAAAGTGAGAGAGAGAGAGAGAGGCTGTTGAGGCCCAAACCTGGGTGGACGAGCCGAGTCAGGAAATGGCGCAGAGAAAAGCCGGTGCAAACGGAAGAGTTTGAGTTTAGACAAAGAAGAGAAAATGGACTTGGTAGGCGGCGAATTGAAGACAAGAAATAAGCAGAAGGAAATGGAGGGATGGGAAGTGCCGGAGGAGAGATATGAGGGATGGCAGGTAGAGGGGAGATGCGCGCCGAGGTGGGAGGATGGCAAGACGCACCCGGACGGACACAGGCTGTTTCGGATGGGGGACCGGCAGGCACAGGAACCGCCAGGCGGCCAGTCCAGTAAGGCAGTCAGCCAGTCACACCAGACGGACACCACACAGCACCCAGTGCCGCTACACAGCACACGCCTGGATGGCCTGGATTGGTGGGTGGATGGCTGGGAGGGCTGGAGGCCCGGGGCCAGATGTCAGTGACGGAACGGGGTGGTGGTGACCAATTTGTGGCATCCATTATTGCCCCGGCAAAAGCCAAGCCCACGCCGCTCTCCAAGCCAGCCAACACGACGATGCGTGTGCAGGGAGGCGAAGCGTCGACGGCGCCAATGGTCCGGACGGGGATGCCAGCCATCATTGAAGACACGACGCATTTGGCGCAACCCAAGTGCTAAGCCCAACTAGGGATCCATCGATTCTGCAGGTGCGAGATGGCGTCTGAGATAGGGAATTGGAGACCAGGAGCGTTTCAGGCAGGCTGGGGCCCTCTGAGCGAGAGACAAGGGTCGGTGTAATGTGTCTGGTGTGGAAACGGGTCTCGTGGGCCTGGCTGGGGTTGACGGGTCGGTCTGCAGTGCTTTAATGTTGTACAATGTGCGCACCATGCATCATGCAGCAGTCATGATGATGATGATGATGATGATGATGATGATGTCCACGTCCATGCATGTGTTGAGTCGGCCATTTGCCGCAGCACTGTGCAAGCGCCTAAACCGAGCATTGGAGAGGCTAGCCTTAACGCCGAGTACATCGGCAGCGTCTCGAGCAAGCACTTGAGCCCGAGAAACGGCCTAGCAGCTTTGGTGGCTGCCACAGACTTGGCAGGCGCAGAGTCCACACCTGCATAAACGCAGTCGTACGGACCATCAACTTGGGAACCTGCATATGTTGTATGTATGCGTTCGCCAAAAGCGGTGCATACGGAGTATTTTAAAAACAAGACAAGGCAAGGCAGCGACAAAAGCAAAAAGGTGCTCACAGGGCAAAGCAAGAAAAATCGTCGACTCACTACAAGCGTACTAGTTTTACCGGAGACTGAGAAACCTCGACGACGAAAGTTATTGGCTGAGCAGAAGCCGCAAAAGCCGCAGCAGCCACTCGTACTCCGTCAGTACTCCGTACTCCGTAGTCTATGCGAGATCCGGCGCCATGCCCAGATGCTCGTAGCAAGAAGCAGCAAGGTACCGAATACGGGGTATTCCTACAGCAAGGTGGTTCTTGACAGGCTGGCGCTTTGGAGAGAAAAAAAATGAGAGCAAATGCATAATGCAATGCATCTGACGGGAGGAGGGGTGCGGGGGAGCATGCCATCTTTTAAATGCACTTGACGGCACAGTCTCGAGTCGACAATCATCCCGTTTGAGTGCAGCTGGTAACACATAATACCGCGCTCCTCCGTCCCAAGTGCTCGCCAACTGCCGATTCTTTCTTCTAGAGCCAGCGCGGACGAGTGTCAGGCGATCTCTCCAAGAAGCCTCCATGTCGCCTTTTATCCCTTCATCTTCGCCAGTAGAAATGGCCACGGGCTCGGTTTGCGTCCTCTGCAATGGTCGCTCTCCAGAGACTTGGCCAGACCAACGAAGCCCAACACGTTGGTCATTGTGTGGCCCAGCTGTGGCGCTGGGCGGCAGTGGATCCCTCTTAGACGTGCATGTGCAGACTCTTGAACAGTTCAAGTCCGTCCGCCATTTCCGTCGCGATGACGGTGATATTGACACCATCTGAATGCACAATCAAATCATACCAGCTGACCTATATCCAACGACGCCTGGAATACGTGTCTCCTTGCATCATCCTGCTTGGCTACCTGTAATGGCTGTTCCATCTCTCTGCAATTCACAATAAGCACCCAGGAAGGAGAATACCGAGTATATTGAAAGGAAACTCAATTTCATGCCGCTTTACCTGGCCCTAAAATTGCTACATTCACACACAAAGACCCCCTCACCAATGCTCCCATCATCGCATGCCATGTGCCATTGAAGGCCCAGCGACTCATCGTCTCAAATTTCATATTGAACCCCATCGTCTTTTCTTCTTCTTTTTTTTTGGTTCTTTTCTAATTTTCTTTTTTTGGTGGTCTTATAATTTGGCAGGGCCAAATCGAAGCAGGCTCGGAAGTCGTCAAAAGTTCGAATTCAAGCATCAATATGATGTCCTGCCTGAATCAGCTTCTGCTAGACGGTGGTTTTTCCCGAGGCCTCTGCTTCCATGCAGCGCCCGTCTTCCCTGTACGTAAAAGATCAATGCAACTTTTTGCGATCCATCACATTTCGCTAGTCTGCAGAATACAACCACTTCAAACTAAACAATGAAAACCTGTGAAATGAAAAAAGTTGACAGCTATTGTGTCAACAGGTGGTAGTGATACAGGGTCATCAGAGTTCATCTCGTGATGGCCTGGGCCCAAAGGAGAAGAGAAATGCTTCAAGGAGGCTGCGATATGGCACTCGACTAGGACTGAATGCCACAAGACATTTAGACATCCCACTCCTCCTCTACTTCTTCGGCTGCATCATCATTGAGTGCCGAGAATGCACCGAAGCTTTGGGAAGCACCAGACTTGGATGCCAGCTTTGGTGCAGGAGCAGGCGCAGTTGCGGGCGCGTCCTTCTTGGATTGAGCAACTGGCTGCTTGGACGTCTCGTCCCCAGACTCGACGCTCTTCTTGCTCTTCCGTGAAGACTTGGCCGGGACAGTGCTCCACTCGTCAGCATCGTTCTTTAGCATTTCTAGCTGTTCCTCCTCAGAGGGAAGCGAGGAAATCCACGAGTCCTCGGTCTTTGCCGGTGCCTGCTGGCTCTTGATTTCAGCTCCCAGCTTGTCCGTGGTATCCAAGGGCTGGTGGAGGGTCTTTTCATTGTTCTCGACGGGCTTGGCACCGGTTCCATTGGGGGCACCTTTGGCCCAGGAGCTATCGCCGTTAGTGGCCTTGAACTGGGAGCCATCCTTGGCTGGTCGACCCTCGGCGATGCGTGCGGTTCTTCGCTGCTTCTCTTCCAAGGCCCTGCGTTCCTTCTCTGCCTCTTCGCGTGCTTGCTTGGCAGCTTCGGCCTTCTTTCTATTTTGACGCTGTTTCTTGGTTTCGGTCTTTTCGGGTGCCTTGGCAGTCTTGAGCTTCTCCTTCTGCTTGTCCATATCAGTGATTCGCAGGATCGAAGGGCCAGCAGTAGCGGGCTCAAGCATATCACTGACGCCCGACACGTCCACGGGGCGAACCTCGGGAGACTCCTTGGGAGACTCGACGGGGGACTCGACGGGAGACTCGACAGGGGTGCGATCATCATCGGCCTCGGCACCAGTGTCCGACGGCTTCTCGTCGACAACTGCGGTATGCATCTGGTTTGCCCTGGACTGCTTAACGGACTTTTCCTTCTGCTTTCCTCCTTCAGTCTTGTTGGTGAACTTCTTTCCTTCCTTGGCCTTGGACAACTGTTTGGCGAATTCGCGGTTATCCACACCATCGTCGGACGTATCGTCTACAGAGGATTGAGGCCGAGGGGCAGGCTCAGGAGCATGGGCTCGAGCTTTGGCCTTGGCGGCTTCCTGAGCATCTGAAGTGTAGTTCTCGAGGCGTTGCTTTTTCTTTCTATCCTCCCTGCGTGGCTCATTTTGTTGAGGCCTTGCGTTGCGTGGGGGGTTGGCCGCGGCCCTTCTGTTGGCCCTTCTGGTCGAAACATGATAGACGGCAACGCCAAGGCCCAACAAGGCGGCATAGGCGGTAGCAGTGTACACGTAGCTCATGTTGTCCGAGTCGGCGGACATGTTGTGCGATGTGAAACCGGCAGTTTCAGGGCAGCACTGTAGGTATGTTGGAAAGAGAGCTCACAGGATGTAGTTGACAAGACGATGTCGGCTCGAAAGTCGATGGCCGCCAGGGATCAGCGAGGCCTGGGAGAGGCGCTCAGAGGGAAGGTCAAGGACCGGGCGCACGATGTGAAGTCGACCCGATCCAGAGAGTGATGGCAATAATTGCTTGGACCCAGGTATCGTGATGATTTGGCGATGAAGGGTGTCGCAGCGGTATCGAGGGGGTATTAGGTTGATGGAAGAAGGTGTTCTGCTTTTGACAAGGTGATGGAGGAAAGGAGATCAGGGGTGGTGGGGTGCGGCAGTGCGAGGACTGATAAACAAGAGCCAAGCGGCTATGTATCACATGGATGTAACACGGACAAGCAGGAAACGAAGGGTTGGAAATCAATTGGGAGGTGCAAAAGGAGGAAGAGAGAAGAGAATTTGTAGAGAAGCTGGGAGATGCTGAAGAGGGCAGTGAGGAGAGGAAAGTCGAAAAGGGAAGCCAATCTGGT